GGATACAATGAAGGAGCATCAGCTTCTGTCGAAAGAAGTGTTGCTGATGTAACTAGTAGCACCAGCAAATGAGTATTTGCTCCTCGTCAGTAGTATTTACGATACGTACACGTAGTAGACCTTGCTGGTGGTTACTAGAAACAAAGTATTTTCTAGCAAAAGAAGAAGCTAGTCGTTCTAATAAGAATAGTTATGTAAATATGTAAAGTATGTAGGACTCAACTCCCCTTCTTGTTTCCAGGGGAGGAGTTAAAGGATCGATATAAGGGAACTGTTCAAAGCTTGTCTATCTCCAACTGCAATTCATGGATATCATTCAACATCGTACRAACTGGATCAAGCTCCTTATTTGATTGAATCGATTCATCCATGGATTCGCAAGTTGCCACMGATGGTGGTGATGATATTCCTAGTCACTTGGTGCTGGTGCTGGCGGTGCTGGTGATGGTTTTGCCTTTCATTAGGGGAGACGAGAGGGAGGAATAATGTGAGTTCTATGTCGTTTGCGGGATTGATCAGTCTCATCCATCATGATACTGACACCAGCACMAGCACCGACAGTGGAAGCTAGGGAGGAGGGAGGAGGAAAGGGAGGAGGTTGAGCAGCAAATGGTACAAGAGAAAGCTGCTGCTGCTCCGCCTGTCGTCGACGCTCCTCTCGCGTCTGGCGCTGCTTCGACAGCTTCCTCAGACGCTGTTCTTGTTGGTGCTGCTTCTCCTTTTGTTCCTTGTTGTCATTGGTGGTGCTGTTGTCTGCTGCTGGTGGATCAATGCGCATTCCAGTTGGATCTGTCTTCTTACCTAGAGCAGCCTTGCGATGACCAACATGGATTCGTTGACTAGGTTTTTCTTTGTTCCCAAGCTCTGCTTCTGCAATGATCTGCAGTACTTTAATCACGCCCCCTGGAGGAAGTTGCTCTTTGTTTGCTGAGTCTAGATCGTCTTCAGTAACGACGACATCAACAACTTCCATCTCAACAGCAGTCCTGTCGGTGTTCATGGGGGTTGAAAATTCAATGACGATGACATTTTCAATCCTCTTGTCCTTGAATGCTACTCCAAACTCATCCTTCTTGTACAGCTTTCGAAGATAGCGCCGCATAGTCTTGATGACAGCATGATCCTTCCCAAACTGGTGCTTTTGGCCTTGTTGGATTGCAACGTGTCGAGAGACCTTCTTGAACCACTTGGGCCATCGAATGGTCAGCTGAAGATGGTGCTGATCAAGCCATTCCGGTTCAATCAATCTCTCTGCAATTGCATTGTGCATAATCATTCTGATCATGGTGAAGACGTTGTCCTGGTACTCTTCATCTGAAGAGTCGTCACTGTCAGCAGTGTCTTGCTTGTCCCAAGTCCCAACGATGGTAGGGTAACCACCACCGTGGATCCGAACATGACTGCAGTCTTCGAGGCTCATGTTGTTTGCCGCATCAGTTAGCTCGCTAATAGTAACAGTCTTCTTGCTGTTGGGCTGCTCCATTGTCGATTTCCGCTGGTGCTTGCTGCTGGATGAAGAATTGTTGTTGTTGTTGTTGTGGCTGCTCCATTGTCGATTTCCGCTGGTGCTTGCTGCTGGATGAAGAAGAAGACGGCGCTGGGGGTGCACTGATGGGCATTGCTTTTCGCTTCTTYGTAAGGCTCTGTGGTGGTGTTGGTTGGGGTGAGCTGAATGAGACTCTTGTTGCGGTTGGAGATAGAAGAGCACTTTTGTTTTCTGTTGGAGAGAACAAGTGTAGTAGAGATGGCTCTGTAGGACGAGAAGGGGATTCACCAAAAGCCACAGTCGCCGATGCTGTACTAGATGATCGTGGAACACCTTCAACAGATGGCTGCGTTAGCTGAAACTTTGAGTCAAATAGCTGCTTCGCAAGAGTGGCCAATTTCTGCAAGAAGAACGCCAGCAAGAAGATAAATTAGAGCATTGACAGCGGCGGCAGTACACTTACGGGCGGCAAAGTCAAATTGCTGATTCCTTGTCAACTAGCAGTAGCGGTACTCACTTTAGCACRATTATAAAWGCCACTGGCTGACTTCCAATGCTCGTGTATAACTTTGTAGTGCCTCCAGTGATCTCTGGCACCCGATCTTTCAAAGTCCCAACCCTCAACGCCGTCTGTTGTAAGGTGAAGCCAATAGAAGTACACAACAAGTTGCTCAAGCRCAGTTAGCTTGTTGTACGATGTCTCAGGTGATTGCTTCTTTGTTATCCTGTTAGTGGATCCTACAGTCCTTGCCATTGAGGAGGAGTACTACTACTAACTCAGTTCAAAAAAAGTGAGCTTTAATCGTACTGATACTTTGTTTTTATCTACACGCATTATTACGTGTTAATCAATATTAATCAATATGCCAGGACAGCTGGAAGGAACCAAACAGGCTCGATGCGGAACGTTCTAAATATGTCTAGATATTTCAGTCTTGTACGTTATGTATATAAAATTATATTCACAATTGTATATCTGAGCAATGCGGAAGATGTTAATTTACCAGCAATGCGATCAAGTGTGATAAAACTAAAGAATGTTAAAAAAGTTAATTAATAAGCTTAATAAAGTTATTTAATAGTAATAATAAAGTTTATTAATACTATTAATAAAGTTTATTGTCRGCGATATAAAAATTAATTATTCCTGTGGTTCGCCTTCCCCCAAATACCGAATCGACTATGCCCCCAAAAACAAGAAAAAGAATAAGAAATAACAAGTCCGTTGAGTGTGACACGCTACCATAATAATCTACGTAAATATGCACGTGCATATTAAAAAACGTACGATCGGGGGCTCTCCGGTATCGTAAAATAGTTGTAGATGACGCCTTGGTATGAGTACGAGTACCGTACTACCGTACTACTTCGAAAAACAATTGAAAGTGTTGATTTTAGTTTAGTAAGATTGTGCTGAATTACTGACCTACCCATACTACTTACTATTCATATGATTATATACGTTTCAACTTCAACAAAGCCTGTTACCGCCGCACTACTCGTACGCACTACATCTAACACAACTTACAAGTTCGAGTACTGATACTACATACGAACTTGTCCATACTATTTTCCTTAGTAGACACTACGTATTTCTCTTGAGCAGAAACGGCAATAAAAAACAGCGCGATTCGACAGATTTCTTAACACCACAAGGGTGAGTGTGGTACCGGTGCGGCAAATAACGTGCGATAAAACATAATCATACGGTACTCGTGCAGTTGCGCTCAATGTACTACGATTCACTACTCTCAAGATGTAAGTGACGCCTGCCGCTGTTTACACCTTGAGAAAGCATGACCTGTTTAGCACCACTCCTTCTAATTAGGCTTGCATTCTCTTAGTTCTCGCCCTAAATACTTTGATTTTGTTAGAGCTCGGGTGTTTCTCTTAGCAGTCACTATCATATTAATGTACACCGCATGTATGTAACAAGGATTGTAAATTTGTCACACACATCACCGATCCTAATCCAAACACCAAAACACCAACGGTCAGTACAATCCTACCTCGACCATGTATTGAAAGATGTCGCATCCATACAAAGTGTCAATATGGCGCTCTTGGCGTCAAAGCCAAGTGCCGTTCGAATGACCTTTGCGAAGATCGTTGCCATTTCAAGGCACAATAGGCAGGCAAATGCTTTGACGTGCTACAAAAGTAAATCATGCGCGTCCCGATGCCCCTCTCACACGTCGCTTGTTCTCTTCATCCCACAGCAGCAAGAAGTCGCGATTCGATAGCGCTGATACTCTGACAACATGGTGAGCGCACGGGATGATGCTCTCGATTACTCGAAGCCGAAATCAAAGATGGTGATGAAGAGACCAACCAAGGTAAGACGTTATCCAAAAATCTAGCCCATAAAGCAAACGACAATGTTTTCATTTCCTTTCTGTGAAGAATACAAGAAACGTGTAATGGTTCCGTCCTTCTGATACTTCCGTTCCGATCTACCAATAATTTACTTTTGTACACGAAACAGAAAAAACCCAAAGATAAGCCGAAACGGCCACTAAGTGCTTACAACTTTTTCTTCAAAGAAGAGAGAGAAAAGATTATCAAGGTTGTTCTTGCTGAGGACCCATCGGCGGTCAAACAGGATCCCGAAGATGATGGATTCTTGGACGAGGAAACAATCGGACGTCTCAAAAAGGAAGGTGGAAAAGTTTCCTTTGAAGAAATGGGGAAGTGAGTACCCTTGGTTGGTTATTCAACTATTGTACCATCCAAAAAAAACGAATGAGTAGAAATGCGTGGCCAGTACTTGCTGATGTCTGTGCTAACATTTCTTGCATTCCAACGTTAATTTATTTAAATAGAATCATAGGGCAGCGCTGGAAGAACATTGATCCAGACCGTCTATCGAAGTATTCAGAGCTCGCTTCGGAAGATACAGAACGGTATAAGACTGAGATGCAGGAATACAACGGGCGACAAGAAGCTAAAATGAGAGCTGAGGCGATGAAACCCGCAGCTTCGTTTCCTACTAGCTCTGCTGGTGGTCCAAACGAGCGTGGCGTCCCATCCTATTCAGATGCTCGGGGTGCATACGGAGATATGTCGGCAGTTGGTTTTCCTGGCATGCCTTCAAATAGTATGGGTCCACAAGGTCCAGCGGGTAGCATGGGTCCCGGTGCAATGGGCGGCGCATACGGATATGGATATGGCGACTATTCTGGATACGGAAGCATGGGAATGAACCCATAGTAAGTTGGTTATTTGGCCCAATTAATTTGGCCCCATGTCCTGCATTTAGCGTTCAAATTGGAAGCTAATCTATTTCTTGTCGATGTTGTTTGCTTCTGAAACCTATAACAATTTGGATCAGTGGTGGAGGGATGCCAATGTCATATGGCAGTTATTCTTCGCCTCCAATGGATCCCCAGAGCGCCTATGGAGGTTCACCATACGGCTCAATGGGGATGATGGGTGCCAGTGCCTTTCAAGGCGGCATGCCAATGGGATAGTAAGTATCTACGGAAAGGTTCTGACTCGCATCATTGCTCGCAAAGAATACTAACAATCTCGTATCGAATTCCATTGCTCCATTTTTTTGCAGTCCTGAGCATCTGTACGGCGCCAACCCGTCAATGGACCCGCAGCAGCAGCAACCAACAGGATCTCATCCTGGTCCTCATCCAGGGGCGCACCCTGGCCCACATCCTAGTTCACACCCCGGACCACATCAGGGATCCCATCCAGGGCCTCATCCGCCACCTGGCGGGGGATACAGTGCAAGCCATGCTTACGGCGGGGCTTCCTCGCATCAGGGAAATTGGGGTCAAAATGAAAGATGAGTACTGATGCGTTTCTTTTTTCTATTTTTAAAACAAAAGCACTACGGCATGTCGCATGGGGAGCGCTTCAAGTAAAATTGGATTTCGCGAAAGAGGAAGAATGGGTGTCGAGTTTTTCCGCCTGGTACACGAATGATTTTAACAAATAAAAATACACACCACACTGCTATCAACAATTATATGTACTTCGATATAATAACTTATAATACTATTACAGAAAGGCATCAGGAATCTCAACACTGATGCCTACTAAATATCTGAGGTTTCGCAATGTCAAAATGAAAGTAAGGCGCTGAAAATCTTGGGAAAACATTTTGAGGCAATGAACAGATCATGGTACAAAGGATGGGCCAATGAAGCAAAAAAGTCCACTTTCAGATTTTGGGACCCTCAAAGCGTTTGTTGGATCGTATCCTTGAAAATCCAGTTACTGTAGCTCTGCATGATATCTCATAGGGAGGGGGGGGCTGTGCAGGGCGGGTTGAATTCACTGCTCGCCCGTAGAATGTACGAGTACGTACGTAAAACATATCTGTACCATACTTTTTGTAGTGTACAATTTCTGTAAACGGAACTATTTGAAAAAATCGAAACCAGAAGTTGCAACAAGGAATTACAAATCTTAATTACCTGCATCATAGGGACATTAGGTAAAGAAGCTTCAACACGAAGGCGGTGGTGATATGCGAGGGAGATCAATCTTAGTCTTTGCTGGCACCCTCCTGTCTCATTTTACCTCGAAGGGAAACTTATTTTCGGATGCTTTTTCTTTGGATCCATTGAAAAACAAAGATCCAACTGCAAGTTCATCATCCGGATTTTCTCGGCGACAATGGTTCAAAATACCTATTGCTTTGGGAGGTGCTACTATCTATGGTAAACTTTTGTCGGGCGCCGTGAAGAAAGTGGCGCGAGGAGATTTGGAATATCCCACTGCCCATGAAGATAGAATAAAAGATACGATCAGAATAGCTGCAATAGCTTCTATTCCTGCCGTTCCAAGCAAAAACGAAAACGATGTAGTCACAAGGCTTGAACGCCCACTTCGTATATTGGAGGTCGGGTGTGGTAAAGATTGTAGAATCATACGAAGGAATTTATACGACGATGCTTTCTTCGATCTTGCATCCAGTGGTATAACAAAAATCGAACTAACTGGTGTGGACATTCTCTCGCCATCAACTGAAGCAATCCATAGCGCCAAAGATGTCCTGTCTCAGAGGGTAGAAAGTAGCAAGCTAGATATCTCCTTCGATTATGTTAAAGGCAGTCTTATGACAGGGTTAGATTTTGACGATGGATTCTTCGACTGCGTTATATGTTCACTCACGCTGTGCTCCGTTGACGACCAAGTTGGAGCTTTGACTGAAATCAAACGGGTATTGAGACAAAAAGGTGGTTCTTTTGGCTACGTTGAGCACGTCGCCGTGAATGGCGATGAACCCTATCGATTATTGGAGTTTCAACAAGAGCTCTTTGATGGCTTACAGCAACTGGTGGCTGACAATTGCCATTTGCACCGTTTCACGGAGGACAACATATATCGAATATTTGGTGTTTCGGAAGGAACAAGCACCGCAATAGCAAGAGATCGCTTCCTCGTCGACGAAATGTGGCCAATTTCTTGCCAAACGAGTGGTGTAATAAAATTATTATAGCTTTCAACACGCGCTACAAGCATAAGAGTGTTTCAAAGGTTTGGTTTCACAACTAAGAAACTACATTTTTGTAGCGACGCACACCTCTTTTCGTTTGGTTCTATATGATCGCTAGAGCTATGCTCATTCTATTTTGACACATCATGGATAGCATTTGCAATGTAATCCACATTTCCAGTGGTTACACCAGCCATGCTGATTCGTCCATCGGCAGTGCAGTAAACGTGATGGACATCCCTCATTTTCATAACCTGATCAGCGGTAAGCCCACTGTAAGCGAACATACCAATCTGTTTCGTAATATGATCCCAATTCTTTGTCGAACCGACTTCCACAAGGCTATTTTTCAGCGCTGAACGCATTAGATTGATGCGATCGGCCATTCCCTTGCATTGATCCAAGAAATCTTCGACATTGATACGGAAACAAAAACTCACATCGTGAGAGTTTTCGTATTATTGTTTTCGGAGTTTGAGTACAATTCAAAACGTACCTTGCGTGAGTTTTGGATCCTCCAAAATGGTCGTTACTAGTCGTGCTCCTTGACGAGGAGGGTTCGAGTACATGGGACGGATAACCATTTTCATTTGGGACACTACACGTTTGGCTTCGTCCTCGTCACGACCAACAACAGACAAAGCTCCAATTCTCTGTCCATACAAACCGAAATTCTTGGAAAAACTTTGCACCATCGAGATGAGATGGCCATCCTCAACAAACATTCGCACTGCCGCAGCATCTTCGATAGGATCTCCAGAAGCGAACTGACTAAATTGTGAGAGATTTTAAGACGCACCTAGAAACCGCTCGCCAATATTCTGTATGAAAAAGACTTACTCCTTGATATGCACAGTCAAAAAAGGGAAGCAATTTGTGTTTCTTTATGGTATCGCTCATTTCTTTCCATTGTTCCATAGTAGGATCCATTCCGGTTGGATTGTGCGCACCTTTTTGTCAATGAAAAGGAAGGTGACATGATCAGTGTGGTTACAAGTTTCAAGACTTCACGGAACTAGGATGTCAAAGCCAAGCAATATGATCCATGCCACTTACACGCGTGTAAAAGAACGATAGATCCTTCGGGCATGTTTTTGATGTCATCGATCAAACCTGCAAAATCTAAATCGGAATTTTCGGAGTCGTAGTAACGATACTTGCGCACCTCCAACCCAGCGTTAGTGAATATTGGAATGTGGTTACCTGAAGGAAAGGGAGAGTTGTGAGAATGAAGAAAGCATTGGGCGGAACTTCCTGCCAACTCAGCAGGCAATCCTTATTCGTCATCTTACCCCAAGTCGGATTCGGGACATAAATGTGCTTATGCCCGTGCTTTCTCATGAGCTCCCCAAATACACGAAGTCCACCGGTTCCAGACAAGGCTTGAGTTCCTTGGACACGATTTTCTAGAATTGGGGCAGAATCGTCTCCGTAGACAAACTTTAGAGCTAGGTCCACAAATTTCGGTTCCCCGGCCTAGAAACAATATCGAACATCCAAATGTTTCCAATAAAAGAATTTGAGCTCTGCGAAACGGCGTTTCAAAATGCAATTCTCACTAACACACAAAAAATACTTACAATACCAGTGTATTCCATGTCCATTTTATTTTCCATCATAATTTTTTCTGCCTCTCTAACACACGGGAGTACGTATGGTTTTCCAGCCTGAGACGAACAAAATGTGAGCTTGAACTTGAAGCCGACTTGGAAGGTTTATTAATAGCAACCCAAAAAATCAGACTTACATCGTCTCGGTAAGCACCGACACCAACAATCACCTTCTGTGGAAAATCATCTTTCTGGAAAATTTCATTCAAACCGACAATTGGATCCACCGGGGCCATCTCAAAGTCAGCCCATGGACTCGTGGAAAGGTGCCTTGAATTCGAATTGGAACAAGCCTTGATCGCAAAACCGAAACTTGAACGATTGCTCCTAAACAATTTGGCTGGAGCCTGAGCTAGTGCTCTTCTTGAAAGAGTTCGAATCATCATGTTGCGTGAACAGCTACTCAAAAAGTATGAATGGGATGGGCTTTGTATCGCTTACAATTCTTCGCTTTTTTCTGCCTATCGCTGCTAATGAGTATTGGGAGAAAGGGATGAACGATGATGTCCCTGATCGGTTTATGTTTTTTTACTGTCGTCGTCAAACTGCAGCATCAAGAAGGCTAGAAAAGTAAGGTTGAAAGATCTTTACGAATGAATTCTAAACTTGTAACTTGTAAATTGTAACTGCAGAATTTTGTGATTTGATTGGCTGTTCGGTAGTGGGATTGAATACATTCGTGACACAATTTCAAAGAGGAATCCGTACGTACGGTAACAGCCTCGGTATCGTACGGGTTTTTTTCGTGAATAATGCTAATGATCAGGCTATGAGTACAATAAAAAACGTGCCAGTTTTCAACACCTGGAACTATCTTGCAAGCTTCCTTTTGCTACCAAGAGGGCACAATACGAATTGGAGAAGCTGTTAGTCAGAAAGGGTTTTCTTTCTTCTCACTGTTCATGTGTATATGGCAGGCTTTTATGCTGGGGAACCTTTTCCAGCTTGTTGATTTCTCTGCACACGAAAATTACGACGAAACAACAAATATGTGATGTTCTGAGTACCAGGAATAGATCCAGCACAGTTCCTTCTGATAAACTGGAGATATAACAAACAAAACAAGTAGGCCCATTGCCATATTTTGAGTTCATATGATTAGTAGCCTAATTTGGCGAGCAGTTGGTCTGTTGAGGTGCAAAGTGTCAGTTGTGGGACCAGAATGGTGTGTTGAGTGGTCAAAGCAAGTAGTAGTCATTACACAGTAAAAAGATAACCCATTATCTATGCACACTATTTATTAACCATATAACTCTTTTAGTCTTGAACAACAACAGCAACAGTTGTTGTTGGGTCTGTACAGAATGGGCGCACTATTGCAACAGTTTCCTGTAGTATGACTTGCTGCTGAAGGGCCCCTTGGTTCAAGGAAGGCTGGGACTCCATGCACTGTGAAGAGTGTAATTCTTTTTGTTTGTTTGTTGAATGAGGAAGAGGCCTCCATTAAAGCCTTGCAGCAACAAGTACAGAGGTGTATGGAGCAGATGATCAAAGGCTCCCCTAACTATGTTGCTTGTGAGTCTTCAACCACAAATCCTGTTTTGCAAGATATATCAGATTTGACCTCACAGAGTCTTGCTGCTGTTGTGGTTGCTACAACCACAACAAGCAACACCAAGAAAAGCTGCTGCTGTCTCTGAATCAGCCAGAAGTATGGTTCCAGTTCTACTGGACAATCCCCCTGACACCCCCAAACAAGCATATGGTGTTAAGATAGTCAATGATGATCTTGAGTAGCTTGCAAAAGACAAAGCCTACCTTGCAGCAGCAAAGAGGCTTCAATATGAACAAGACAGTATGCCACAAAAGCAACATGCTTCTGTTGCTAGCATTTTTGCACAAGTAAATTCACTGTACAAAACAATACTGAAGGCTGAAACAATATGCCATTGCATTAGGGACAGTATTTGGGATACACCACCAAAGCAAGGTAGGAAAAACTCTGAGCCTATTGTGCAAGTTCTGTTTTATAGCATTTCTTCATTTGTTGCTCTTGTGTGCAAAGAAAAACAACAGATACCTCATAGGGAAAAACTTATCTCAAAGCTGCGGCAGTGTTTGCTACCATGTCCTTGTTTGGTCAATGACTTTGACACTCTATTTTGTACATCTTCTTATTATCAGAAAGGGGAATACCAAGGTAGAAGAGGGGTGTCTTCAGTGGTGGACTATATTTAAAAACATAAACACATGGTTTACCACACTCAAAGACAAGCTTGTTTGTGAAGGTTTTGCAAGAATAAAGCATGCAGAGGAACTTGTTGAAGGACGAGGGCTTTTTTTTTCTGGACAACTCAACTGAATTTTTAATTTGGATGAATTGGGTTGAATGCTTGATGGTAATGCAAGTCAAGTAGAGGGGCAGCCATCTACAGCATATGGATCTGCAGATAAAGCAATCATTGGTTGTGGTGCAGATTGTACCAACAAGAGTAGGTCCAGAATTAAGCTGGTTGGTGCTAGTACTACTGCTCTCTATCGAGTCCCTCCCCATATCCAACTGAAATCAACTGGAACAAAACAAGAAAACAAGCAAATTCAGGAGACATTTGTTAATAGATTTCAAAACACAAAAGGCATATAGATGAGGAAATTGTGTGACAAGTGCAATGAAACTGCTGGAATGGATGCAATGTAGGTCAAAAAATATGTACTCAATGCAATTGTTCAACTTTACCCTGCTGATGCACGTGATCTTCCAGCCAAATGAGTCATGTTAATTTTTGACATTGGCCCTTGGCAAAACAAGAAAGATTTGCTAGCAACTCTTGAGGGTTTTGGCTTTCTGCTCCACCCTGGAGTGCCCAATAGTACTCACATAATACAACCTACTACAGACCACAATTATGGATACTTCAAAACACTGTACCAAAAGAACTTGGAGAAGCTGGCACACAACCAATGCAAGCATGATGATACCTTATGACAGTCAGATTATCCACTGTTTATTAAAGGCAAGCTGGATAGATGGAACAAGGATGTTGTATTGGAGTATGTGTTTGAAAAGTCATTTTCTGTTGAGAGATGAAAAGATGCATGGCACACAATTGGGATTGCGCCTTTCACACAGATATGTCTGTGTGATGAGAATGTTGCCCACAAACTGATTGTATTGCCAGATGGTTTAATTGATTTGGCAAGAACAGACCCAAACACATCACAACTGGTTAAGCATTAAAAAAAATCATGCAGCAATGAAGATGTTGAATGATGCAGGATCCAACAGTGAAGTTTTGTGCAAGAAGAATGCACCAAGGAAGAGTGCAAAGAAGTCAATGGAGACAGTGACCAAACCAAACACCAGAGCTTGTCAAGACGCCATTGCAGGAGGGGTGAAATAGTTTAGACAGCACTTTCTCAGAATTGGCAGAGGAAAGAAGCATGCAATTGGATGAGATTGAACACTTCTTTAAAGCAAAGAAGAAGGCTACAAAAGCAGCAGAAGCTTTGAGTAGTAAAGCTCTTAGTTTGATTGAGGATTTTGCTTCAAGAAGGGGAAAAGATGTTAAGAAGGCAGATGATGACAAGTCCCTTCCAGTTGCTACACTGAAGATATTGTTCCAGTGGAAGCAGCAAACAAAAAAATTCCTACCAAGAAAGAAAAGCTCTTGGATATGTGGATGCAAGTGAACAATAGGAATATGTACCAAGTAATTTCCCAATTTTGCAAGCAGCCTGGACAAAATCTATGATGTTGCTGTGGTGCAACTCAATTTAGTAGTCCCTTCTAAACACATCTTTAGATGTGTTTCCAGACTAGTAGTATTACTGTCAGCAAAGCACACMTGATTTGAACCAGAGTTAGTTACAAAAACAATCTTTGTGTCCTCTGAAAAGTGGTTTGAGAAGCAGGTAAAGACTGGGTTGGCTGAAGCAGATGGTGGGACTTGTGATGACTAGTAAAGGTCTGAAAAACAAGACCTTTATTTGCCAATAGATAGTAAGTTATTTGATGTTACATGCCTTGTGCATTAAATTGGAAACACATACTAGAAGTAGTGCTACTTCTTGGTTAATAAGTAGTACTAGTGATTGTTTAAGATTCAAATTTGATTTTGTAGCAAAGGAAAGATACTGCTTTACTAAACTTTATCACAGCTTTGTAATAATAATGTAGATTTCCTAACACTATCTTATCGTGGGCCAAGCAAAAAAAGACGGTTATAACCGTACATTCGCAATTGAAGATATACGTAAACTAATATCAGTCAATATGCCGTACTCCCCCACCGCATTCGATATGACAAGTGCCGTTGAAGGCATGGATGAGCACCACATGACAAGAAGGGAGAAAACTACTACTAGTAGTAGTACATATCATAGTAAATACCCATAACAAATACCCATAACAAATACCAAATAATCAAGCCAGCACTTTACAAGGTCTATCCTTCAACTACTTCAATCAGTCATGGGATCAAAAAGAATATCTAGTTTCATTAGTAGCTGTACTACCAGCATAATCACATGGTACTTGACACTTGTTTCATGTGTGATGTCAACCTACAAGCTTTGATAAAGGACCTCACCAACTCTAATTTGCATCATCACCATCACAATTGCATACAATAGAATTTCTGGATTGTAGTAATGGTCTCAAATATAATAGCAAAGCAAACTACTAACAAATACTACTACTAGTAGTAGTTGATCAACAATACTACACAAACTACCACTACAAAAAATCATCATGAAAATCACTGCACCATTTATCAGAAAGCCACTATGCAGCCTAAGAAATATACAGAGGACTCTCAAACACCTAATTGATCCCAAAAGACCAGAATCCCCAAAACATCATGGTTTCTTGCTATTTCCTCAAAAATGAGTAAAGAGGAAGCAAAGGAATTGTAACTTGTATGGTGACTAGATGTTACAAGCAACTATTACTAATATCCACTCCTCCCACACTTTGAGAATACCAATAGATGTGACATTAAAACAAAGTCAGTAGGGAAAACTCTCAACAACTCTACCAAAAGCATTAACAAGAAACAAATCCACTTCACCAATTATACAAGAACGAAACCACTGGTAGGAATGTCAAGTAAATCAAACCTTGACAAAATGGAGAAACCATTGTAAGACAGCACAAATCTTCCTTCAAGTTATTACTAAGGAACAAAAACCTGGATATCATCCAGCAACAACATTACTTCGGAACACCCCAACATTCATCAAAACACTATATGCAATGAATCAAGTTCACCATCAGACAATTCACCTTTTGAGACATTTGGATGAAAATGGAAGAGTTCAACAAATTTCCATATAGTACTTCCCACCACGCAGAGCCCCTGGAAGCAAACCAAAAAAGTAGACTGCTTCTAGGAGAGCATTTCACTACATGAGATGGGAATAAGAACCACTTCATCCTTTAACATACTCTTAATATAAATCTTGGACTTCCTCCACAAGAATATCAAGGAGGAATTGAGATTCACATTGCTAAAACTCAACAACTTAAAAAGAAAAATGAAACAGTAGTTAAAATGATACAAATTGAAGAAATTGAAGGGGAAGAAGGGCAACATCTCACTAGTACTTAACATTTTTGAGCTCTTTCTGATTCCTGAAAGAAGAGAAAACAAATAATCTTAATATTTATGCTTGTGAACTATGATATGCACTAGACTGGGGCAGCCGTAACCATCACTTCATGGAGAACAATGCTCCTAGCCACTCCAAAGAGCCACTCCAAAGGCCATCACATGATGTAAGGAAATACACCTAGAGAGAAAACAGATTGAGAGGTAGATTTCCATTCTTATTCCTGGCTTGACAGTGCACACAAAAATGATCATAGTATGGCTCTCACCATGCATTCAAACTGTGAACAAACACCTTCTATGTCCCCCAAGTCTAGCCCCCTGTCTCATTTAGCGTTTCAATAGAAACAATCATGCCTCTACCAGACATCCTCAGAGGGAGGTACCACCCCTTGTTGGAGCAACCAGGAGCATTTTTATCTCCCCAGTCAGGTGAAGTAATGGTTCTGGCCCATGCAGTGCCTCTTCTAGTACAAAGTTATGTATCATTTTTAGATTTTTATTCCAATTCCTGGACAAAGCAGAAGATTAAAGAACTGTCAGCCTCTGATTCCTGAACAAAGCAGAAGATTAAAGAACTGCCAGACAAGGATAAGAGAAATTCTGGAGGGGAAGCATTCTTTGAAGGTCTTACATCATTTGGAGGCAGCCTTGGGAAGCTGATAAGAACAGATCCAACTAGAGAATACAAAATGGTGTGACTTATAGGGTCATTGACTGCTTTCACTCCATCAGACTGCTAAAAAAGTCTCTTGGATGGGTAGTACTGGCATTCTTCATCTGCTCCAGCAAGAAAACAAGTGACATCCCTATCTTTAAGAACAAGAAGAACTTTCAACACCTTGACTCCATGGGAAATTGTCATGTTGCCATCCCCAGTCCAGAAACTCTGCAACCTCTTCTACTAGTGATGCTGGGGGAGTGTCCACTTTACAAGACATTTGCCAGGAATTATGATGAACAACATCCCCATCCTGCAAAATCAAGACAAAATCAGTGCTAGCCAAGAACACCAGCAGAAGCAAAAACTTTGATCATTCTAAAGCAACTTGAAATTCTGGCAACCTCAACAAGAGTAGCGTTGAATGCAAATTCAAATTGATAACCTTAGTGCTCTCCCTGGTGTTACCACAGCTATTACCACAGGATGCATCAAACCATAAGCTGAGAAGAAGTTGGAAGCAATGATGTGTAAAGAAAAGAACTCAATATTATACAAGCAGATCAAATGATCATTGCAATGATCAACTTATCCTGAGACATCTGGACTTCTTGCTGTACACACCCACTTCCTACCAGCACCGCAAATTAAATGATCTATGTGACCACTTCCTACCAGCACTGCAAATTAAATGATCTATGTGAAAGAATGAAGAAACACCAGGAAGATTTAAAATGAACCTAATGAAAGCATTCTGACAAACTTGAATCAAATTCCATGCTTTGAAAGAATTTCTAGAATTAATGGAATGGGCTGCATCAAAACACTTGAAACTATACATTGTGGACAAGAGATAGTAATAATATAATCATCCATATACTCAGATTGCTCTAGTATAAAAATGATTTATTACAGTAGTAAGAGATTTGTCCAATGGAGATACGTTGCAAAAGAATTTTCATCACTAAACAAAAATACACCATCTTCAAGTTGAGAAGAATACAATAATCATAGATGTATTGTCACAACAAGTGGATGTGGTGGGATATTTATGCATACATTGAAGTTAGAACACAGAAGGTACTGAGACTCACCATTTATGATTGTGCTAGAACTTATGATATTAGTCCCAACACCACTGAATGAAAAGTATTACCAAAAAAATCCAAACAATGCAAATGGATACAAAAGCTACAATAATGAAATGGACATTCTCAAATTGCTTGCACAAAAATATGCACATGGTACGTGGTATCACAACAACTTGTTACACCTATGCTGGTACGATAGTCCAATTCAAGCTGCATTCTGGTAGTACTGTGTAAGTACTCATACATAACCATACTCCTCCTAGTAATTTTTACACAACTACTACCACTAGTACTAGCAGCAGCATAGGGAATTGAATTTTACTTACATAGACAACATGACCTTACTATTATCGTCTGATGACACAAATCTATATTTTACCTGGGTGCATTAGAAATGGTCTGGCAAAGGTCAACAAATCTAAGTCAGGCGACAGCGACCGACCTAACCCTTCTAATACAAGGGTGCTGATAACGACACTTGCCATAGCAGGGTCGATTTCCACGCCGTGTACTCTACACAAGTCTAAGACACGACGCAAGAGAGTCCCAATCCGTACCGCCCCTAGCGTGAGCCCTTCCTTGCGACGGTCATGGAATTCTGAGACAATTTCTCCGATTCCTTGCGCAAACATGTCAGTACCACCAGGAATTTGACTACATCTTTCGTATTTTGCGCGTTCTACCATCAGACGACCAGCTCTTTCACCATTATTGAAAACAACTGCTCGAAATAAATCAATAAGATTCCTTTGATCATTCGGGGTTAGCGATATGGCTATTCCTGCATCAAGAAATACGATTGATCTCTTTGTCTCTGTGATATTTTTCTGGCTTTCTTCATCTCCCTCGGTTTGTAATAATTCCCAAAAGTTGTTCCATATTGACGATGATGCTGTCTCTTGCGTTGTCTTGACCAAAACATTACCCTGAATATTTATTGTTCGGTTTCAAAAGCGACGAGTTAACAGACCAAGATGAGATTTTGAATTGCGAGGTGTGGTAAATTCAGAAATTTTTGGGCAACGGGATAGCAAATACGTACCGGATGCAGATCTCCATGAATAAAATTGTCAATGAAGACCATCTTCAAAAATGCTCGAAGCAGTGGACCTGCTAGCTCCATTCGTTTGCGCATCCCTTCTTGACTCGAGTCGAGGAGAAAGTCTGTAATTGGTACGGCATCGTTTACATAGTCTTCCACTATGACATCAGGCGCGGTCCAGCCATCAATAGGTTGCGGAAACGATATAGTTGATTGATCTTCGCGTTCTTTTGAATCTTTGAAAAAATTCGTTCGGAATATCCGTAGGTTTTCGGCTTCAGTGGTCAGATCAGCTTGATCGCGGAGCACCACACTGAATTCTTCGACAGCCCTCGGCAAATTGAGCATCTTCATGAAATCAAATGGAAGAGAATGTAATGCATTTGCCACAATCATGATGAAATCAAGATCGCGATCTACCATCTTCTGGAAGCGTGGGTGGAGTACTTTTACCGCTACGTCCCGCGTAGTGTGACGATCTTTTGATTCGACAGCGTCTATTGTCGTAGTGAGCGTACCCCTATACACTTGAGCGGCAGATCCACATCCTATCACCTCTTCAATAACCAAACCCTTTCTTTCATAATCTCCGAAGGCCTTATTTAAAACTTGGTGAGTCCACTCCAATGAGTGGGGGTAGCCATCGTCGTGTAAAATCGACAATTTATCGCACAGAGTAGGAGGAAAAATATCACGACGAGTTGCCGCCCACTGGCAAAATTTGATAGCCACAGGCCCCAATCCTTGGATAGCTTTGATGGCATAATTCCATGCCAGGTTTGAAAATAGCTGGGAACCAAGAGCATGGCTCGAAAGGAAAGCGGTTGGAGTCAATATCAGCAAAGGAGATATTCGAAGAATCACTTCGCTCGTCCGTATGGTGATGAAACAAAACCTGGAAAGTTCCATCCATCGATTCCGTAACCAGCGTATTATTTTGTCCAAGATGGTATCTCGTTTTTGCGAGGCTCCATAAGATGGGCTACTTGCAATCAATCTAGACGAAGGCGTTGGTTGCGAGTCGTCGTCATCGATCGATGGTTTCAAAACGTGTTGTCGTAAACTCCAATGATGATGCCACGGGCTGTGAAACCAAAGAAATGAAGATAGCCCCGTTGCCAAAGAAATGTGAACTGTGGGATTCGATGACAAGATCGAACGAGGTTTGATAGTATATACTGCATTTCGATAGAACCTTTTGTCGATCCGTTGAACCACTAGCTGTGCTCGTGTGGCACTCCTCAGGGCGGAGACGGAACGCCGACGAGCCCCCCTCAACATGTTCTAGCTCTGTGTTTCAACAAAGCATTCAGCCTGGCAAATGTTGTCTTCTCAAGTCCTCAATAATATCTACTTTATCTCCTTGCTGAAACGTATTATGGACTTCCATGAGCACAATTAGTGTTGTTGGCGATCTGGTTAGGCTTATCATTGGTCACACAACGAATGCATGTTTGGAATGATGAGATGGTGTTTAGTTAGTGGTTCGTGTTTCTGTTCTATTTTTCTCTTTGTGGTACAGTACAGTACCCTACTGTACGGACGGTACCGTACAGTAACTTGTCGTCGATGGATCATCCCCAGAGCAAGCATGGTACCGTACCGTTGTATTACGTGTATTACATAGGAACGATAAAGAATCCGACTTCAAAAAGAGAGGGCGACTCGGCCGACTCAAAAATTCATCGAATAAATAATGGACAGGATGACAGACATGGGTTCTCAAAAACCAACCAAATCTACCTACGAAGTCTATTATTTCTTCAGTACCTGAGCACCGTACAAGGAGACAAGTTTGTAACGCTGGGAAATTTTACAGCCCGTTTACCAGTACGGCTACGAGTACGAGTACGAGTACGGATCAAAATCATACCGTAGTTCAGGCTTGTCATCATTACTTTGAGATTTTGACGGTACGATTAGGTGAAACCGAAAGAAAAGAGGTAACAACGAAGCAAGGAATACAAGACAACCCTAGCAATCACTATCAGCGATTGGAGTTATTTCATCATTGCCTTCACATTGTTAATAGAAGAAATATAAACAGCACGCCACAAACATGTCCGATCGTCGCCGTAAAATTGATTTGGAAGGCAATAAGACGAAAAGAAAAAAGGTAGATCTAAACGTCTGGACGGGGGCACCATATTCACAAAAATACTATGATATTTTGGATAAGCGTATCAAGCTACCGGTGTATCAGTTCAAGGACAATTTGATTAAGAAGGTTTTGGAGAATCAATCCGTTGTTGTTGAGGGAGAAACGGGTAGTGGTAAAACAACTCAAATTCCACAATTTCTTTTGGAGGCTGGGCTGGCCGAACAGGGAAAGACATGCGTCGCTTGTACACAGCCTCGAAGGGTCGCCGCGACCAGTATTGCGCAGCGTGTGGCGGACGAGATGGACGTTGAACTTGGTAGGGAAGTTGGGTATACCATCCGTTTCGAAGATGTTAGTGATCCGCGCTCGACCGTTTTGAAATTCTGTACCGATGGTATGCTTTTGAGGGAGGCGATGCACGATCCTCTTTTGTCCAGGTATAGTGCCATTGTGCTTGATGAGTGTCATGAACGTACCTTAGCCACAGATGTGATTATGGGACTTTTGATGGAAATTTTGCCCAAGCGGAAGAAGGGATCTGAACACGGGGAGCTGAAAGTTGTTATCATGTCTGCTACTCTGGACGCACAAAAATTCCAGGAGTACTTTCATGGGGCTCCTCTCATGAAAGTACCTGGTAGAACATTTCCTGTAGATATCTTTTACACCGCCAAACCGGAACGAAATTATGTTGAAGCTGCAGTGCGAACTACGTTGCACATACACCAATGCGAGGAACCAGGAGATATTCTAGTCTTCTTGACGGGAGAGGCAGAGATTGAGCAGGCATGCGAAGAAATACGGGAGAAAGGCAGGGCAATGGACTCAGAATTGGTTGTTTATCCGTTGTACTCATCGCTTCCACCAGAGCAACAACGAAAAATATTCAGCGCAGCTCCTGGCCCACGCACTCCTGGAGGTAAACCCGGACGGAAGGTGGTCGTGTCAACCAATATAGCCGAAACCAGTTTGACTATTGATGGAATTGTGTACGTCGTGGATCCAGGCTTTTCAAAACAAAAAGTATTCAATCCACGTATTCGTGTTGAGTCGCTTTTGGTGTCACCTATATCAAGAGCTAGTGCAAAACAACGGGCTGGTCGTGCCGGTCGTACGAGACCGGGAAAGTGTTTTCGTCTGTACACAGAGAAAAGTTTCTATGACGATTTACAAGAGACGACTTACCCAGAGATTTTGCGATCGAAAATGAGTAGCGTTGTCCTGACACTGAAGAAACTCGGTATTGATGACTTAGTGCACTTTGATTTCCTTGATCCACCAGCACCAGAAACATTGATGAGAGCATTGGAACTTTTGAACTATTTGGGTGCACTCGATGACGAAGGAGAAATGACAGAAATTGGATACCAAATGAGCGAATTGCCGTTAGATCCCCAGTTGGCGAAGCTGATTCTTGTCAGTCCTGATTATGGATGTTCTGCAGAAATTGTTACCATTGTTGCATGCTTAAGTGTTCCACAAATCTTTTTGAGGCCTCGAGAATCAGCAAAGCAAGCAGATGAAGCGAAGGCTCAATTCAGTCATCATGAGAGTGATCATTTGACTCTCCTCAGAGCTTTCAATGAATATGATCAAATACCTGATAACGAGAAGAGACAGTGGTGCTGGGACAATTTTATCAGTGAGAGATCAATGATTAGTGTGATGAACGTTCGACGGCAGCTGATTGGAATAATGAAACGACTGGATATACCACTGGTTTCTTCCGACGTGAAGGGCGACGGTTCTTTTGCTTCTGCCGATGTCCGAAAAGCCCTTACAGCTGGAATGTTTATGCAAGTTGCTTTCCGACAAAGAACGGGAGACTATCTGACAATTAAGGACAACCAGCACGTCGCAATCCACCCTAGCTCTGTAGTCAACAACCGACCTGAATGGGCAATTTTTGAAGAATTCGCATTGACGACGAAAAATTATATTCGAACCGTAACGGTAACAAACGTCGATTGGTTAGTTGAGTTAGCACCTCACTACTTCGATCTTGAAAATTTCCCCAAATGCGAGGCCAAAGGAGAACTTGAGAAGGCATACGTTCGTCTGGCACACAGTCGAAAGAAGCGTGGTCGGTGAATTCTCTAGATTGCAAGTGGAAGAAAGAGCTGATAGGGGTGTATTCCTTTCGTAGGAATGATAAATCTCGAGCAAAACAAAAATAGTGCTTTTCGCGAGGGATTACAGGTATTTAATATCAAGAGATCGGCACTTAAATTCTATTGTAATACTCCTGCTGCTACAACTGTCGGTGGCCCTCTGCGTTGTCTAGCCATAGCATGCAAAACCTCTAGACTCGATCCATCCAGCCTTCCAATCACCCCTGAATTGATTAGAAGTGTTTCTTTCCATTCTTTTGGGGATTCCCCAACTCGGACAATCGAAAATTTTGAACTTCCGTAACCTGGTCCTACGACAGGCACCGTCAGTAGCACTCCAGGATCATTATCTATTATAGTGTATAAATCTCCATAGTATTGGCCTCCAAAAGTTGAGTGACAACATTCTGATAGAGATTTTGGATCGGCTATTAGTTCGTCAGCCCGTCCGATTCCGTTTCGACCTCTACCCTTCAATTGATGACTCCATCGGTATCTACCCATTCCATCCTCTACAGCAACTGGTGAGTAGTCGAATTCACAACCAACATAATGGGCTTTGGGATCAATCCCACGGCGGGCTCCTTTGGCAAGCTGAATGATATTCTCCGCATGTTTAGGTAATGGAGAGGGATTTGAAACATGAAAAATGAGTCTTCCGATTGGTTCATTTGCCACTTCAATATCAAAATAAACTAAATTGGCAGAAATACTTCGCGGATCATCAGTGCTTGTAGAATCATCTCCACTATCTGAGGCACACAGTTGCATTCTACAATGACTGGGATCACTATACTTCACGCGCGATTGAAAATGTGTCACCAAGTTGCAACCATTCCATGCAAATGCTCCTATCGTAGGCGACGAAAGAAGAAATTTGACCAAAACGACGTAGATTAGCACCGCTCCTCTAAGCGTTGAATGGGTTTTACTATCTAATGGCATGTTTTTTTGTAAAGAGGTTAGGATCCTGTTAGTACGACTATTGATGCAAAGTGTCGCAACGTCCCGATATTCAAGTTTGGAATCTCAAATCGTCTTCAGATTTTAGATACTACGAAAAAGTTTTTTTCAATTGTGATTGAAGAGGTTACATCCGAATGGAAGGAGGCGCGCGTCCCCTTCAACATACCAAGAAGAGTTACGTATAGTACCTTGCCGTACCTAAGGAGGTACCATGATGGAGTAAGTACAAAAAAACTTGACTTTGATTCCACTGATTTACTACTGCTACTGCTACTGCTACTGCTACTGCAACTGCAACTGCAACTGCAACTGCAACTGCAACTACTTCCACCACCACCACTACTACTGTACCTCTGCTCCAAACGAAATTTCCCAGTTTTCATCTCTACTACTACTATCACCACCAGCATTCTTCTTGCCTCCTCTTGTTGAGGTGAATTTCAGTCAGTTTTCATTKGTGCCTTTTTTAGTAGACTATGATGCTAGTACTACAAGCCAAATCTACAACTCATGCCACCACTACTACTAGTACTAGAACAACAACAAGTAGCTAGTTGTAGTGCTAACCTACTACTAGCAGTATTAGTAGTACTAGTGGTACAACTGCAGATTACTATAATTTTGTTCGTAGACAGCATCTCACTCTTATGAAACAGAATAACTAGTACCAGCTCGTAGGCAGCATCTTACTCTTGCAAATGAAAACTGTACAAAAATCATTATCATCTATTATAGGAATGCTGGGTGAAAGTGGAAGGAACAAGTAGAAAATCACACATCGATGCGTCAAGAAAAAGTGATTTGAATATAGCAGCTTACATATTGGTGAACAGAATCAGTTTTGCTCCTCTTTTTCAAGTGCCGCAATCTGTTCATCGTTTACCAATTTCTGAAGAAAAGGGTAGAAAGTAACTACGAGACCGTCGTCCGATCCAGCGTCGAGTAGTTTTGAAATCCCGTGCGTTGTGTGTTTGCAACGATGATCGGTAACGCGGTCCTGGGGATAATTGTACGTGCGGATTCGCTCGCTCCGATCCCCCCCACCCAAAAGCGAGCTTCTAGCCTCGCCGTGTTTTCTTTCTTCTTCCTCTCGTTCCTTGTCACGGACGCGCGCCGCAACTAACTTTAGAGCTTTGGCTTTGTTCTTGTGTTGGCTCCGCTCGTCTTGGATGCTCGCCGTTATTCCCGTTGGTATGTGGGTGATCCGCACAGCACTATTTGTTGTATTTACGTGCTGCCCTCCGGCACCCGAAGATCTCATTGTGTCGATCTTTAGCTCTGACATGGGCAATAGCTCTCCCGATTTGCCATCATCTTGCTTTGACGGCAAGACTGCTATTGAACAGGCACTGGTGTGGATTCGTGTGTCATTGACCGGAACTCTTTGAACTCTATGAACTCCACTGTTGATGAAAGCGATTGGTTGTCAAAAGGATCGAACAAGGATCTGAGAGACCAACAGAAGTAGAAAATGAAGAGAATATTTCCTCGCAGTTTATAGCGTTTGGATCATATTTTTGTTGCTGTCCGTACCTTTCGTATTTGAAAAGACCATATGGTCCTAGATTGGCAGTAATATTTTCGTCTTCGTCGTCATCCTCCTCCATGGCAAATTGCATCGCACTGCCCCCACCGGACGCTCTCCCGCTTACCGACAGCACGGCTTCCTTGATCCCCCCCAGGTCGGTGGTGCTTTCACTCATGATATCGCACTCCCATTTCATAGCCTTGGCAGTCTTTTCGTAGGCTTGCCGAAGTTCCGAAGCAAACAACGTAGCTTCGTCGCCACCCGTTCCGGCTCGTATCTCTACAATTGCATCGCTGTGATAGTCGTTTTCGTCTTTGGGCAAAATAGCGACCCGAATCTTTGCTTCCAGCCTTTTCTGTGACGACTTGATCTGCTGCAGCTCGTCCTTGAATTCCCGGATCGTTTCGTCGTCACCTCCTCCATCGGCATCCAGTTCCTCCAACAGTTCATGAATCGATTTTTCCTCGCTCTCCAGGTTAATCTTTTTTTCGTGTAGCGCGACCGCATGGGTCAACGATGCCATCTCCTTTCCGTGGAGATAGCCTTCGTCGGGAGAATCTTCGATTTTCTTCAAAAGCTCATTGTGTCTGGCCACCATCATGTCGAGGCGGTTGCTGAACGCGGGCGTCAGGGACGAAAACTGCCGGCGGCACCTGCTTTGTCGCATATTGCAACTCCCAATTATTGACGCGGATGATTTGGTTGGACTACTACGAGTACCTCGTGTGGAAATTGCCGACGTGAGCATCCTCCTCCGACCCGTGAGATTTCTAACAAACAGAAGCCTTCTGACGCTTTGAAATGCAAGCGATCCCATTTTTCATCCGTCTCTAGCAGGTGTTTCGAAAGTTCAACTTCGCTGTTGATAATTGAATGGTTTCCTGCCGACGACGTGATCGTTGTTCAGAGGATACAAGTACCAGAGAACGCTACGGCAACCGTGATCTGTGATTTTGATGTCGACGTGCCGAAGTACCATACCGTACGGTAGCCAAGCAATCCTACTGGAACCAAAATTGCATTCAGTATTGCGTCGCGTATTACTACGTAAAGTACAAGTTAGAAGTACGTACTCGTACTACTTGTACTTCGTACTTCGTACGCACTTTTCTAAGCAAACAGTTTGTTTCGTGATGGTCGTCAGTCACGTTTGTGACTTGACTGACAAGAGGCATTCTCCATCATGAGATTTTTTGAAAACCGTTGTAACGACGACTACGTAGCGTACATTTAACGACGAAACGAAACAAAATGCAAATGACCCACCGAAAACAGAAGTTCAAAACAAAACAAAACGAACATACGAAGCAACCGTACCATAAAAGATGGTAATTCTTCTTTCTTGATCCTGTAAAGTAATTCATTTCTCTGACTCGACCAGAACGACACCCCATAATCCATAGATTATTCACCACGCAGTTCCTGGTATCACTTTGGCTGGTTACGGAAAAACAGGATCGGTTGAAGAGACTTTTTACCTTTCGGATCGAACCAATCCTTCGCCATGCCCGCTTCCCCTCGACCCCACCCGCCTCCTCCTCGAGCGCGTCCCCCACCAATGAGCCCGCGACGCGAAGGAGATGCCCCATTGACGCCTCGTCGCTATCAGTCTCACGACGAAAGCATTCTATCGGGATCGCCTGTGAGCACCAACAGCACCGGAGCCCCGTCGTCTCCAATGAGAGAGGCGGCAAGCCTGATCCAAAGTCTCGACATTGCCCGCACAAAAATGATTGGTTCAGCGGCCGATGCAGCGACCGAAGCCGAGACCGCGAGGCGGAATGCCCGCACGGCGCAAGAAATTGCTCGACGGTACCAAAGCGGATCCTATTCGACGTTCAAAATGAACGCATTGGATACTTCGGCATCCTCTGCTGCAAGCATTGTGACCACGGCAACAATGGCTTCGTCTTCAATCCTCATTACTTCTCGTCCGAAACATCCTGACATCACGGGTCTGTTCAAAAATCAAAACGCTTTAGACGGTGGCGAGGACGAAGAAAAGACGTTTGAAGGCGAAGGCGATTCACCAAATGGCAACGTCGGCGGGGACGACAACAACGGCGGCGACAATCACCGAGTGCCATACACTCCAAGCCCGAGACACAGCTCCCCCACGCATGAGCACGCGGAAAACCAAATCAAAAGCTCGGACAAAAAGTCAGGTGACGCTGCCCAAAACCGGGGCGATTTTCATTCGCCAACCTCGTTCGAACGGATTGCACAGCATCACGCCGATGACCTCTTACAGCTTACGATGGAACTTGAAAAAACCAAACAGGAATTGGAATCGGAACAACGTTTGCGCAAACAATTTCATTTTTCAATGTTATCTATGGAAACAAAAGCAACAAAGCTAGAAAGTATCAATGAAAAGTTAAAGGAAGATATTGAAAAGGAGAGAAAACAATCAGCAGCAGAAATATCGAATCTCAAAATGGAACTCAAATCGAGCCAGATGAAATTGCAAGCAGCCGAAGAAGACGCACAGTTAGCACTAGATTTGGCGAAAGATAGCGCCGAGGAAAGAGAAAAAACGGAAGAACTCCTACAAAAAGCCAAAAATGAAGTCGAAATGCTAAGGCAGCAAGGCGGAAACAATCAACTGGCCGTTATCGGTACACCGGAACGACGTGTCCATTTTGCCGATAGCGATGCCAATGCTGCAGTTGAGAACGAAGCTACCAACACTGTAGAACCCGAAAAAGAAGTGAAATCACCGGCACTATTAGATGCCTCGCGTGAAGGTGGTCCTTCTCGAGCCATGATTGCAGCTGGGCGTCAACTACTCCTTCGACGAAGCATGTCACCTCAAGATGCTGTCATTCGGCTGGAACTAACTCCATCAAAATCGGCAGAGCGACGTCAACAACTTTCTGCTCGCTTGAACAAAAGCCTGAATGAAAGCACCGATGACGCCAACATTACACTTCTTTCATCTTCCCCTTCTCGAACGCCCACGTCACCCACACCCGGCAGCCCGCCAGCCATCACCTCGGGAGAAAGCCATACTACTTCCAATTCAATCACCAACCTAGACATGAAGACAACACTTGAAGAATATGTTGCAGCTATTAAAACATTGGAAACCAGTGGCAAGCGCCTTGACTTGGATGGGTATTTCTGGAGAGAACATAGCAAAAATAGGCCATCACACACTCCCATCCGAATCGATCAGATGACGAGACAGTATTGTCAAAACGTCGAGGTACGTCCAATTCAACTAGAATCGATAGAACTTATATGCCGATGATCACAACAACGGAAACAAAAGTCATTACTGTTTGCAACAGCACAGCAATTTCCTCACCCTCGTCTCATGCGATTGTTACTCATCTGTTTTTCACAGTTCAAAATTGGTCGACAGCAAAAGGATATCAATCAGCTGGAATCATTGTTGGGATATCTCGAGAAGAAGCTTGTTTTGGACGAGTGACTTGTGTTCGATAGTGTCAAGAATTGGTGCATAGAACGTTTCTGTGTAGTTCGAAGTACCAAGTAGTATTGCATTATGAAAGGGCAGACTTACCATTAGTACGTAGTCAAGTACGTACCGTTTAGTACGATGCGACTAGCACTTTTTCTTTTTTAGAGCTCTGTTCGTTAACGGTAGAAAAGAGCGAAAAATGGTGAACAAAACCGATGATCCGTTGTACAGTATCGTACCGTACAGTACAGCACGAGGTAATACGTACCCGTAACAAGGCTGGAGTCGTCCTCGTACCTCGTACCGACCGGTCTAGTACGTACTGGTAGTAATAACAATCGTTTCGTAGGACCGTACTACTTCATAGTTCTTTTACAGCGCAGGTACAGTTGCGGCTAACGGTGTTGGGCATTGAAGCATCCTTCCAGATACTAGGGACATCAAGTTTATCTGAAAACTTGCCATTGTTGTCCAAAGAAAAGATCGTTTAATGAGAACACTACACCACAGAGTAATGCAAACTTAGAATAATAACAGTCCCAGCGCAAATGGCTCCTTCAGCGAACGATAAGACGTTGTGAACCAGGACGACAAAAAAAGGAACGAGAAAACTAGTTCACTGAAAACGACAAATGATGTCAGAGGACAGAAACCCTCACCAGAGACTCATTCATCGTCATGACGAGTTATCCTCAATGCGACTGGTTTCTGCACCATTGCAAGGTTCAAATGTAGATAGAAAATACACGGCGAGAAGCCACGATCATGAATTCAATCAGACATTTACGATCGCGTTGACGATAGCTGGGATGGGGCTTTCGTTGCTCGTGACAATTTTCAGTTTGTTTCACGTGGACATCTTTCTACGCGTCTACAGGCTGCCTCTTCACGCGTACAGCAACGGAAACCTCATCTTTGCTGTCGTCAACACCTGCAACGATCTTCTGGGAGCTTATCTACTAGATGCTGCCGCTACCAGAATTAACAGAAGCGATCTGATCGGAATATCTGGTTGTTTTTTGGCGTTGTTCTTCTTGTAAGTTCCAGCATTTTCGTCAAGTCGATGCATATATGCTCACAGCAAAGACAATTGGTCAAAGCGACGTACTCATTTTTACATGCGCTATTGGTTCCGTATTTCCAATGAAATTCGTTGCGTCAGAACCCCTTTCTTTAGATGGAAAGATCCGAATGAAAACGAATTTTACGACGAGGCTCATTTCGTCGTGTCAATAAGCATGTATGACACTTTGTATTCTTTTACTGCAATCTTATTGGGGTCCTTAGTCATCGACAATCATCACTTGACTGATAAAGAGCGCATCAACTTCATGGCAAGCGGAAAGATACTCAATCTGTTTGCGGCATTTTTCGTCGCAAAAATTGGCCTGGAAATTTTTGAAGCAGAAAATATGAATCGATTTCGAATTTTCCTGGTGACCTTAGCCCTGATCGTTGCAATTCTTTTCCTTATTGCGCAGGTAATGGTTCACTACCGCATCAAAATCTATTGGAAGTCCATGAGGATACGCTTTTTGCACAATGCCAAACGGGAGAATCAAACCCCCAAACCCACTGCTAGACTCAACCCAAAGCAAGTTTTCCGCGACTTTTGGCGATACAACAATTTTTGGGCTTGGATTTGGATGGAGCTTCTTTTGGAAAGTCAAATATCCTTCTCCGATGCATTTTTGAAAACGTTTGTTGATCAATTGTTGTACGACGAAGGCGTTTCCAGAGAGGGCTGTGACTGGTTGCTCTCTGCTGTTCGTCCCCTTGCTCTGATTTGCACTATTTTGTGTTACATTCCGATCCGTGGATTGGGATACAAGAAGCTTTATCCGCTTCTGTTCGCTATCAATATCGCTCTTTGCTCATGGATTTGGTTCGGTGCTTCCCACAAATCGACGGGTGTTATTATTTCATTTCTCATTATTTACCCTGCCATTACCAATGCAGTTGCAACCGCCGGATTTCATCTTGCCATGAGTGACATGGCATTAGAGATGAAGAGAATGCATCTTGTTGAAGGGCGTCAAGATGAAGCTTCTCTTGCTGGTTTATTTATGGGGGTCAATGCTCTCTTTTGCAAACCGGCTCAATCGATACTGCCTGTCGTGGCGGCAAACATGTTAGATAACTTAGGTCTAACGTCGGATGGAAACGAAGATGTACAGCGAGTCTTGTTCAAGTTATTGATTATTCCGCCACTGGTCTTTTCCTTTCTGGAATGGATATCTTGGAGACGATTCACTTTGACACCTGCGAATACGAGCAAAATGAGGGACGAGTTGCGAAGGTGGGACTCCTCAATAAATTCTTTTTCCGACGCTGAAGTGCCAGAGTAAGGATGATTTCAACATATGCAGATTCTTGACGGGTTTCTCGTTTCGTAATAAAGCTACATTGATCGCATCTAGATGAAAATAATTTAAAATACAGGGGATCATTGCACAAGGCATGTGCATGATGCTCTCTAGAATGATAGACCATGGTCACGAGCAATTCTTATAGATAGATTTGCCTGATCTCGCCACACTCTGTGGAGTTTCACCGATTCCTTCTCGTTTTCTAGGAGTCTCAAGTCTCTGCAGCATTCAATGCAGAGGGATCGCGGACCTCCATCTGTAGTTTTACAATCAAGCGATGTCTGAAAGACCGATTGATATATCTCGCATGCATCGCATATAGGCGTGGCAGGTAAGCGGAAGCGGGCAGGAGTCCAGACATCGTGAATAAGTGGGTAGACACTTTCAGAAGAATTTTCACCTGTCTTGGTAGAAATGAATTTTCTATCTACAAGAATAACAGCTGTTTCCACATCCCCATGACATGCGTGGTAGTAACGAATATTCAAACGAAATGGAATTTGACTCAGTTTGGTCTCTTTCATTGTTTTGTGATAGCTGATATCGACGGTAGGATCAATTCCAAGATATCGTTTTCTGAGAGGAATCGAATGGCTTGGATTATTTCCGTCAATCCAATCGCAAATACACGTTACATAGTCAACCGGTCCGGTTTTGTAGAAGGTGTTTTCAATGAAAAAACAGCCCGAAGGATCATAGTTTTCTGGCTTCCGCGTCTTGGTTTGAGTTTCATCATCGTAAGGCAGCGGAGAGTTATCGATCGAAATCCTATCGTTATCGCCGGAACCTTCATGGTCTCCGGTAGTCATCCAAAGATCGTCTTCTACCATCTGTTCTAAGAGCATATGCACGTCCCATAACGTTTGGCTATCAAGGAATTCGATAAGCATGCGATGGCAATCTGATGATGCACCGCGCTTTGGTTGTCTTCGCCAGAATTCAAACACAACTGTTGAAAAGTGGGAGTTATATGCATGTTTTCTTTGCAATTCAGTCCCTTTTTGCTGATCGTCCCTAGAATAGAGTGCTGATGATTGCGGTAGTCCATGTCGTTCGGGCATTCGCAATCGAGATGAGGCACTGCCATCGGAAGTGACTCCTGTCAGATTGTGTGTTTCTGCATATATCCGTTGCATATTAGTCACGCTATGCCCCCCGCGTGCCTGTTCTTCCAATTCTCGGTGTGTTGGGATCGAATCAAACAATTTCCATAACTCTCTGTGATAGGATAGTGTTTCTGTGGGATTAGTCATTGAAATCACCCGTTCACCCGAGAATCCATCGTCGATTGGTGGGTCTTTCCCCTGATGACTGTCACTTTTCGTATTGAAATCAAAACCTTCGGGAAGTGAGAGTCGATCCTCCATCGCTCTCCAACCGCCATTGTTGTTGGTATTGGTCATTGGTTGCGCCACGAAATTTGATGCCGGAGTTCCGACGGCTGTCGAAGCATCTTGAGTTTTGTTTGAAATATTCGCGGTGGTTGTCTTTTGGTTGACTTTTCGATCATCTAGTTCTTTCCATTTTTCCAAGTATTGGTGAAGCGTGCTTTCTACAATATCGTGAGTGGGAAGAACCCGAATGGAGTTGCAGTCAAAGGGATCTTCAACTGGTTGGTGTGACGCAGATGAGGTGGTCGATGGCGTCCTCCTTCTTTTTCTGCTTCTAGATTTCGCTAGCTTTGGTTTCAGACTTTCACCGGTTAATAGCACTCTCCACCTTCTCGCAGACTCTTTGGAGGAAAGGTTTTCTGCCATGGCGGCTGCAATCGCATTTGTCAGAATTTTCCGAAGACGGTTTATTCATGAAGACCGGAGACGATACAGATGTCACAGTAACCAAATGTTTCAGTTTCATGTTTTGTTTAACCAAGTACCACTCGTTCTCGTTCTCGTTCTCGTGCCTTCGAAGGAGTCGATGTCGATGATTTTTTGTATCCGATATCCATCCAATATGCGGTATGCTCATTCCTACAATGTACCGTACGTACCTTCTGTACTGCCGAACGTCCCAGCGCTAGTAAGAGGACGTACAGTAGTTTTTCTGTGCAAGTAAGAAAGTATCGCGAGTACTCGTATCATGTACGTAGTACCGGTACGTACGTAGTATTCTACTCATTGTTCTTCGGACTCCTTGGTTCGATTCGATCCGAGGAAACGATTCTTGAGAGAACAAGAACTGATATCAGGCACAGTACGAGTACTCTGAGGTTCGTGCAGTTCCAAGCGGTAGTATCCCTTAATCCGAGCGTACGCATGTATTCATCCAATACTGCTCGCCAAAGAACTGCTTGTCGATTCGGACGATTCCAAACTTCTCTCTCATCTTCCAAGCTTCACGATGTCAGGAACCGTTACCGAACCAGAAAGAGGATCGGATCTAGTTTCGATCCGGGGCACGAAATGTTTCGTCCACGACTTCACAAGTTCTGCGGATGGCAGCAGTCCCAAAGCCTTGATTGTGTTGTATCATGGGTTTTTGGCACATGGTAACTACCCAACTGTGAGGTACGCAGCCGAGTTCTTTGCGGAGGCTGGTTATGCCGTAGTGGCGATCGACTTTCCGGGCCACGGGAAATCAGAGGGTCTGCGGGGATACCTGAACAGTGCAGACGATCTGATCGAGGACGGTATCGCCATGGCCCAACACGCGCAATCCTTGTACAGCAACTTCGAAAACCTCCCACTTGTCCTTTGTGGTTCGAGTATGGGAGGAGCGATTGCTCTGTCTGTAGCTCACAGAATGAGTCAGCTTCAGGATGGAGTTACCAAACCTGCTTCCGCCGTGCCTTTGGTTATCTTGCTGGCTCCCATGCTAAAACTCAACGTCTCTTCGTTGGAGCGCACCGCTCTGGCGTTCTTGGCCTATGTGGCTCCAACGGTGCACCTCATTCCAAGCAGTGCGACGGATTCCTCGAAACAATACCGTGACGAGAAAAAGCGACAAGAATGCGAGAGCGATCCCCTGCTCGCACCCCCCGGCACGAAATTATGCGTCGCCTCGGCCCTGACGTGCGTAGACACCACCCTGAAAATAGCAGAAGCATTCGAAAGCATTGCCAATCCGTATTTGTTGTTGATTGCGGACGAGGATGTGGTCGTCAAGAACGAAGGGTCCGAAGTATTTCACGAAAAGAGCACGTCTCAAGACAAAACGAAAAAGAACTACCCGGCACTTCACGGTTTGTTGTGCGAGCCCTCCCCGCTGTTTGATACTATTAAGAGCGATATTTTGGATTGGTTGGACAAGCGTGTTTGAATATCTGCCGTGTCCTCTGCTTCTGGTTAGATGCAGCTTCGAAACACCCACAAGTGGCTCATCTTGCCCATGGTACCCGAATTATTTATGTAACTAACAAGTAGTTTACGCAGATTGTTAGTTCTATCAGATGTATCTCAAATGTTACCGGCTCAATCGTGATGTGCCGTTTCATATTTTTTCCTACAAGTATATTTTTTCATCCATCCTTTGGAGACCAGCAAATAAACAGAAAACATCAGTCCTAGAACAAAAAAATATTGATTCCTCCCTTTCCTTTGCAAACCCGATTCCCTTGCTATGTTCGGCTGAGCGTTCATGGTTGTCTAGATGACAAAACTTTTTCCACATTCCGTCTCTTGTCTCTCGTTTCCTTCTTGCTGGCGACGCACATGCACGTGCCACATAGATATGGCGAATTTACGGCTCTATATGAAACAGCAAAGCTTCAGAACATCTGAGTGGCGATTTGATAAAAGCTCGTCTTGTTGAATTGTAGTTGTAAACTTTCCACAAAATCTAGTCTCTCGAGCCTGACTATCGGGTGTTTTCGACTGGGAACAACTTCACTCGTTCACTACTATAGTGTCAGCAAAGGAGTCACCGACAGCATTTCCGATTCGCTGACAGACTATTAATTCGTATATATGAACCCAGTGCTTGTCAAAGTGCTTTCTTTCGCACTGCGGCCTAAAACTAGAAAGTCGTCATCACATGCGGGAGGGAAAAAATATACGGAGAGGTGCAAAGGGGACTTTGCACCGAACCTTTTGCATTATTTTTGTTACCACAGTCTCCTCTTAGATAGACACGCCTAAGGATGCGAGATGGAAACCTGCTGCTGCACTCTAATCAAATTTCTATTACTGGAAGTTTCTTTTCCAAGTGGGAATGCCAAAATCCAAAATCTACGGTAAAATCTTTCTCTGAACCGAATCAAGAATGATTCAGTACGTACTGTACGTATTCTATTACGGGACTCGTAATCGTACGCATCGTACCTATCGTTCGAGTCGTACCAGGTCGGTTTTCAGTTTCAAGGTCTCGTTCGCTCGTTTCGTGGCGTACAATGACGCGCCAACAATTTCAATTTTATGGACAGGTGAGGGTCCGCGTGCTCTTCATTGTGATTCAAATAGATAGCTTAAGTCGTGGATTGTGGTCGCGTGCCAACGCTAATCCGCCTTTTCCCAACGCCTTCGTCGGCCTTTTTTGGTCATTCACACTCGGTGTGCTTCCAATAGCCAACAATTCAGGGAGTACCGGTATGGTAATGTCGTCTTATTTTGAACATGTGGTTCGTAAAAAAAAAACGGGAAGCGGACAACAAAACAGCGAGTTAGTAGACAGCACGTGCTTGACAGAGTGCAACAGGTACCTGGTACCTCCAAGGACAGTTCTCAAAGTGCCTTCGCTCCACCTCCTGGCTAATTTTGAAATATAACTGAATGGAACGGCAATACAGTGTCAGTTGACGAGAGAAAACCCAGATTCACGGGCGGGAGGACTGTAATCCCAGTGGTCAAAATCGAAGGGAGTACGAGTACGTTGAATTGCAGCGGCGGCGGCAAAGTAGCGAACTATGGCAACTTCATCTGCTCCTCTCAGTAGCTACTATGCCGACGAAAGAGAGAACACAACATCTTGGGACACGCACTATCAGAGACGTGGGCGCAATCGAGAAGTTCACGACTACATCAACTCCTCCTCGGGAGGGGGGCATCGCAGCAATTACGATCACAACCCCCAGCACCGACCGAGGCGTTCTCTGAGTGCGGATTCACGTCCACAATACCAAACGAAAACCAATCAAAACACGGCGCATTCTCCATACGGTTCTTTGTCGCAGCGAAACGTCGGGCCATCGCACATTCATTCCGATCGTGCCCAGTCGGACGTTGGTGCGACCACGAACTCGAATTCCATTGGCTTCTACCAGCTCCCTGGCTACGGAGGCGTTGTCCACGACGACACAGTATTGTATTCAAGTGGTGGAAGACGACGACTAGAAGAGCAGCAGCAACAACGATACAGTACGAGCCAACGGGTATTGTTTGCAGAAGGACAGCATAATCGTGCGAGAAAGAACGCTCGAGAGAACGCCATGTCTTACCAGAATGATAACGGTCGTCACCAATATTCCTCTTCGTACGAAGACGCGAGGCAATATTACGATTTCGCCAAGGACAATCTCGTAACTTTTGGACGATGCGATGAACCAACCGAAAGCACGGGATTCAGTCAAGAGGAGCTCTTGCAACGAAAACGACGGGAAGATACATGGCAACAGCGACGGGGAAAGCGGAGCAGCAAAGCCAACAAACAGCAACGTATCATTAGTTTTCCATCAAGTCTGCTCAAAAGAAGCGGCAAAGGCCAGGCTCAATCTGCGCAGTCTCAGCGACAATATCAGTCTGGGTACGGGAACGAAGATACAGCAAACAACGGCCGTGGGGATGGTCTTTATTCAAACAGTAACAGCGGTCGAAACAAGGGGGCTAGAAGTGCAGTGGTGAGTATTTCGTTCGTAAAAATGCTGCGTCGAATTCCTTTTTTTAAGGATATCGATGCATAGTTGACAAAAGGTATCTGCTACTAACGTTATCTGAACTGAAATGAATTCGTGTTTCGATGAATTGCGACTAGGTTCGACGCCATAGGGACAAAATCAAAAGATTGCAAATGGCATCGTGCTATTCAGCGTCGGAAGATAATAGCAACAGTAGTGACAGTGCCAACGACACTTTTGATCGCTTCATGGAAGATCCAAACTTGCTACCAGCAAATGCAAAGAATGGTATGGTATTAGATTCTCGGAATGTTAACCTTGATCGCGATTACCTTTCGGTACCAATCGCTCCGGACCGTTCCACTCCTTCGGAAACAACGCCTAAATCTAGACGCAACACAAACCGTCCCACATACTCCGATTTCACACCCACATCTGACTACACTCCTCAAAATTTCAACATTTCGAAACGTGAAGAGATGTTTACCAAAGACACATCACCTACATCGGTAATGAATCTCCAAGTGGGCAATGCCGGAGGGGTGCGATGGAACAAGAACCTCACGCAACAAGAATATATCTTAAGTCCTCAACAAACAAAACTGAATCCTGATTCCGATCACTCTCGGCCGGGAAGCTCAGGCCAAAAACCAAAATCTATTCTCCGGGGTCGACATTCTTCTTCGTATAATCAAAACGGCAATGTGGAAGGCGGGGCGATAGATCCCTCAAATGATTTCCCATTCGTCGATTTCAATAGTCCCGAAATGCAATCAAATATGGATAACTCAGCGAGAGAAAACTCGATCGAGAGCTTTCAAAATCCGTTTCCCGACGACCCATTCAAAATGGACTTTTTCGACGAAAATGAGCGTTCGATATCTCCGATTCAAACGGATACTGGTGCCGATAACTCTGGAAAATTTCCCGAATCGTACGTTAATTTTATTGAAGCTGTTGCCTCAGTAGTCATTCAGACAAAGATACGACAAAAGCTTGCTAGAAATAAAGTGCAAAAACTACGAAACGACCTGAGAATTCAACGAGCGACCGGGTCGTCCGGGACGAACATGACCCCAATGGTCCGTAAATCCTACGACCTTGCGAGAAAACTTAGGAACGACAAGAAAATGAAAGAACGAACACGGAGAGGCAACGCTGCACTTGATTTCTACACTCTTGCTGCCATTCAGATTCAAGCTGCTTTTCGCGGTTGGTGGGTTCGGGATTGTCTTGGAGTCGATAATTATTGTGCAACAATGATTCAGAAGGAATTTCGGGGAATGCTACGTAGAAGAGAATATCTGTATGATCTCTACAATATAGTCCTTGTACAATCAATCTGTCGACGTTGGTTGGCAACAGATACCACGGTAACAAGAATATATTGCATCGTAAGAATTCAGGCGTTTGCTAGAGGTTTCCTGGTGCGGAAGAGAGTGGGATTCGATTTGTTTGAAAAAGATGTGTATGATGCCGCAGCGACCATGATACAAACTCAATGGAGGGCCTTTGCGTGTGAGATGAAATTCCTGCGGGCATACGAAGATATTCTTGTTGTACAGAGCATAGCTCGTGGATGGATAACAAGAAGGTATCTCAGTTCTTCAAAGAGATCGACGAAGGCAAGAACCTTTCGACGAGTCGAAGCACATTCGCGTTTCAAGCGTTCAAAGGCCCCATCGAAACTTCGCAACGATTTCTCACCTGCATATTCTAATCACGTCGCATTCATGACGAAAACACTGAGCCCGGTACGGAAACCGAAGGATTCACTTAATCGGCCATCTTCCTATCGAAAGGCATGGAAACCTCCACATACAAAGGAAGACAATTTCTCTTTTCGAGATCACCAAGAGACCTTCAATACAAATAATTTCTATGGAAAGGCTAAGAAAGCTCCACATACAAAGGAAGACAATGCCTCTTTTCAAGATCAACAAGAGACCTTACACACAAACAAACAAAATTCTGTCGAAAGAAAAGTTGCGAAACACGGCTCAACCTCTCGTGATCAGGCAGCGAAGAAGTTAGACGACAAGAGAGTCGAACCAGAGCAGGTCAAAAGTCACGAGATAGAGTTAAACAAATCCAAGGCTCGCGCTGTTATTGAAAGACGTCGAAAAGAAAGGGAACTTGAGATGAGAGCAAACGAAGTGGAAGAACAAAGGCGTAATCAATCACATGCAGCCGACATGGCAGAAATTTCACTCCGACGAAAGTCGATGGCATTGAAGGCCGAAGCACGAAAGAAACAAGAGGTAGCTACGACACAAAACAGTGTTACTGGTACAATCGAACATGCAAAGCCAGCTAAGGGAATTTCTGATTCGAGTAAAGAATCTCTTTTTTCGAAGCGCATGCGAGACCTTGAAACGCCCAAAAGCGTTGTCTCCTCAACAAAAACAGACAGTGCACTCACTGGCAAAAGGAATGTAACGATATCGGGAGATAAATTAAGACCGAACAGGCCTGCCTCAAAGACGATGGACGCAAAAGATGAAGTCATACAAACTTCCGGTGGTCAGAAAACATCTGACAAAAAATCTAGTGCCGATGCCAAACCAATGCAGCCAAAAAGCAAAAGTAAAGCTGGAAACCAAGCCGGCAAATCGAAATATCAAGATTTAATGCAATCTCTTCGTAGCGAATCAGAGCAAAAACGCATCGACGAGATGCACAATATTTTTCGCCAGGCTGGCCTCATGTCGAGAGCTAAGCGTACAACTGTTGCCCAAGTCCACATTGACAATGGAACGAACCTTTAAAATAAATTGAGCAAATTTGTGATCTTTTGCAGATACAAACATTTTTTCGTGTTATGCACACTTCTACTGCAGCGACTATTTTGATTTTCTTACTTCGATTTATTCTAATGTCTTCGCAAAGGCGAGGACATCCTCGATTTGTTTCAAGACGGAAGCTTTTGCAGTCCCTCCAATTGAACTCTTTCTTTCGACACTAACTTCGTAATCCCAGACCTTCGTGACATCTGCTTCGAACCTAGCATCGATCTCCTTGAGTTCTTCGAGCGAAAGAGTATCGATAGATACCTTTTTCTCCTCTGCTAGTCTAACACAAGCACCGCTGATGTGGTGAGTTTCACGGAATGGAACTCCTTTGCGGACCAAATAATCAGCCAAATCGGTTGCTAGCATTTCAGGACTGAGTGCTTGGATAAGCTTATCAGGATTAGGTTTCATTGTAACAATCACACCGGTCGCAATCGCCAAACAATCCTTGACGGTGTCCATGGCAGCAAACAAGAGAAGTTTATCTTCCTGTAAATCTTTGTTGTATGCGCGAGGAAGCCCTTTGAGAGTAGCTGTCAGCCCGACGGCTTTTCCGAGAGCAACTCCAGCCTTTCCTCGTAGGAGCTCCAGTGCATCTGGATTTTTCTTTTGTGGCATGAGAGAGGAACCGGTCGCATACGCGTCGTCCATATCAATACACTTTAGCAAGTTGTTGATAATTACGTCCTCTGCGAATTGACTGATATGGGTGAGCATCAATGCGTGCCACATGAGGAATTCTACAACAAAGTCACGATCGCAAACCGAATCCAAAGAATTCGCCGTTACTCCTTCGAACCCGAGTTCTTTTGCAAGATATTCTCTGTCTACTCCGAAAGCGTTACCAGCCAGAGCGCCAGAACCAAGAGGGCATCGATTGGTTCTAGGAATAATTTCCTTCAAGCGCTCCGCATCTCTCACCAGAGGAGTTACGTGACTCATCAGCCAATGAGAAAATCGGATTGGCTGTGCAGGCTGTAAATGAGTGTAACCTGCCATGAGGACGTCGATGTATTCCTTCGAAAAATTGGCTGCGGCAGAAAGGAGGATGCCCATGTCCTTCAAAACGTCTCGTTCTGCTTCAACGGCCCACAGACGTGTATCTGTTGCGACTTGGTCATTTCGAGACCTGCCGGTATGCAGCTTACCACCGGTCGGACCGATGATTTCGGTGAGTCGTCGTTCATTCGCAGTATGGATATCTGTAAAAGAGCAAAAAAGAAAGAATAAGAAATCAAAAGTCCAGGAAGAAAAGAAGCATGCGCCCATAAAGGACTCAAACTAGCGCTCACGTACCTTCGTCTCCGGGCTTTGTTTCGAATTTTCCTTCTTCCCATTCTTTGTGGACCTTTCCAAGTCCTTCAACGATAAGGTTCACTTCTTCTTGGGTAATTATGCCTACCTTACCGATGGCTTTGGCGTACGCAACGGATCCACGAATATCCTGTGCCCACATTCGCTTGTCGAACCATAAACTCTCGTTAAATTTTTCCATGATAGGATCAGTACCTCCCTTGAATCTACCCCCGGCTCCAAACAAACCCCCGCGGGCTCCCGTAACTTCCGTATATCCCCACAAGTTTCAGTCCGAAAAGAAGAGCGGAGCAAAATGGCATGAGAATGCGCTCTGAATTTTCCACGATGGTTGGCTCAAGCCAGACTTTGCGTTTACCTACCTTCTTCTTTACCTGACGACATGGTTATTCGTTACTATTCTAGTCGTTGTTACTACGTATTCACAATGGAGGCAAGATTGTCCAGACTTAAACATCGAGTATCAATCAATCCTTGTCGTTGTTGCTTCGGCTCCAGAGGTTAGGTACCAATACGTACTCGTATTCAATCGGTCTGGTGTCGTACGTACCGGTGCGATACCTTCTACGATACAAAATGCGCGGGTCGCGCGGGTCCATTTCTTTCAAAACATCGGTTGAGAAATTTTTGCTCGGGAACAATCGTCATGCCGGAGCATACTTACTGTATTATTCACCGTCCAAAGTACAGTATGAATTCGATGATTTGGGAAAAATAAGGAAATTAATTTACAAGTATCAATTTCTATCAATTTCTAATAATGATAGATTGATAACATAGAAAACTTTACTAATGAAATTAGATTTTTCGATACTCCATAGATTGAAACTAAGACGAAAAGATACCGTACTACGTACGGTACCGTACCAGAATGACGACATACTCGGGTCTCTCGCAGAAAACGGATGAAGCAGCATTTCATGACGAAAGAAAGCGTCCGTGTTTGAGTTAGTGGAGATCATACATGCTCCTGTCGTAAAGCGAGGGTCGAAGGGCTGCAGTGTTTCGAATTCATGATGGCGAGCGACGCTCATTGGAGATGGGGGCGACAGCTTGCCAGGATCATGATTATATCCTTGCACGTGCTTCTGGGACAAGTGCGGCTGAGTTCGTGCTTCTGCTTCGATGCCAACAGATGCTCGCGACGCCAAAAGTTTGATTCTGTCCAAGGAAGTTTGCTCCACCGTCGTCCTCGACATATCGGCCATGTGCAACTAAATCTTGGCCAGGTTCTTCCTGATGACAACGGCGATACAGAAGAGACACAACAAGGACCACTTGATGGCCTGTCAGCGGCAGCAACGCTGGTTCCGCTGGTGATAACCTCCCTGTTTTTCTTCCTCCCTCACTCAGCTTTTGCGATAGATAATCTGCTCGGCGATTCTCAAATCATTGCCGTAAATCCCATGAATGGCCCAGATCCTCGGTATTTTCTTGCGGGCGGTTTGTGTGCATCCATTTCCCACGGAATCACAACGCCTATCGATGTGGTCAAAACTCGGATTCAGTCGGATCCAAAGAAATACGAAGGCCTGGGCGTTGTAGAAGCATCAAAAGTTATCCTGCAAGAAGATGGTTCTGGGGCACTGCTAAAGGGATTAGCACCTACCGTGGTTGGTTATGGCTTGGAGGGCGCTGCAAAATTTGGTCTTTACGAAAGCCTGAAACCCATCATCGTCGGTTTGCTGGATCTTGAAAGTCCCAGCATTGCATACGTCGTTGCGAGCGTCGTTGCGGGTGGGGTTGCGTCCGTGATACTCTGTCCGATGGAGCGAACACGGATACGATTGGTGACGGACCGTAGTTTTTCGAAGTACAATCTTTTGACGGGGATTCCTCGCCTCGTAGAAGAGTCGGGTCTTGCCAGCCTGTTCTATGGGCTTCCCGCCATGCTGTCGAAACAGTGCCCCTACACTCTCAGGAAACAAGTGACATACGATGCAATTTGTACGGCACTATATTTGATTGTTACTACGGTGAGCGACGCGTCGACGAAAATCGAGGTCTCGTTAGTGGCAGCGAGTTGCGCTTCTGTTGTCGCGTGTGTTCTTTCCCAACCGGGAGATGTTATACTGACAGAAACCTACAAGGAAAAGAGCGGCCCATCTGCCTCTCGTAGTTTTCCACAAGTTGTAAGCAAAATCTATAACGAACGCAACGGAGTGAACGGCTTTTACTCGGGCATTATTGCTCGACTGATCCAAGTGGGAGGAATCATCACTTCACAGCTATTACTTTACGACTTCATAAAGCAGAGTCTCGGGCTTCCCGCAACTGGTTCTTCCTAAACCGAATTGCATGCTTGTCTAGTGAACAATGGTTGGGCAGAGAGCATAGAAGGTATGTTGGTTCGAAATCCGGCTGGCATTTCTCTAGTATTACATGTGGTACATTTTGTCGCATTCGCTGTGTTTGTTTCCTCTGGTCGTCAAAAAATGGATTTGTTTCAAAATGTTTTGTTTCCTTCAGGGATCAAATTGCGTAGACATATTCGATTCCCTACATTACTTTACACCCACAAAGATCCAATCCTCCTATATAGATGTGACATAAGCGAGGTGCTTCATTTATCCTTCATGCTCTTTTCCACTTCGATTTGAAATGCTCGCTCTTCCAATGTGCCAATTCTCATCCCATTGCTGTCGTTGATCAGAGCATACCCAAATAAGTTTAGCCCAAAGCAAAATATGAGAAAAGCATAGGCTCCATAGGTAACAGTTTGGCCGATCGATGACATTATCATTCGAGGAAGCATCAGACGCCTCGTCGTTCTCTGTGATGCTTCTTCCATGGCAAGAAACACTTCCACCGGGTCTTCGTCATCTTTTGCGTTTTCTTCATCGGTTCCTTCTTTGATTTTTTCTTCGGTGTCCCGTTCCGCACCAACAGAACTATCAATAGTTGTGCGCTGACACTTGGGATAAATTGTGCACGCTGATCTTCCTACCACAAAAGACTGAGCGGGCAAGATGAATTCTGAGCACCAAAGAACAATGAGGCACAATGCCAAGCTCTTTCTGAACGCCGTCGTCGATAAAATCTTCGGCATCTCGACAATAGTCTCTCCTGTTAAAATAAGTTTGTTGTGTTTTCAATTCTTTTCACGTTTCCAATGATGGTGATGAGAGGCCTCGGGATGGTTCAATGTTGAATCATTTAGTCAACACAAAACCGTCGCAGGAGTTTGATGACAAAGGCCACTTGAATTCTTTCCTGAACATTTCGGTTGAATGCGCATGATTCGTGCCGGAAAAGTCGTTCGAAATTACGGTACTGTAGTACCAGGTACGTGAGTTCCTTGTTGGCGGTTTTGCACAGAAATACTCGCGTACCGTTATATCGTCATCAATTAGTCTCACGTGGTCAGTGCTCATTCGGGACTCAAAACTGATTGAACAGATAATTTGACTAGCTGGATTAACATTTTTGATGTCTCCAACCAGATCGATCATCCATGATCCACCAAAATTTAAAATTTCTGGAACTGATCGTCAATCAATGAAATCATCGATTCTAGGCTGAAAAGTTTCTTGTTCACCTATTCAATGATTTCCCCGTTCCTCAAGAGATTCTACCAAAAGAATGTCATCGTCAGGCATCATAGAAGTTGATGTAATTATACCCGTACATAACGCAGCACATACTGTGCGGGAGACTGTGTTGTCCGCATTGAATCAAGAAATACCCACGCACTCGTCGTCACCGTCCCAACTTTTACAGGAGTTTCTAGAAAAGTATTCTATTTCAATCACTGTATGCTGTTACAACGATGGATCTAATGACGAAAGCCTGGATATTCTTCGACAGATTGAAGCATCACGATCGAAACATGCAGGGAGAGAAGTCACGAATGGAACGATTCCATCTCGACTTATTGTGGGCTCCAGCAAGGATGAAAAAGGACTGGGCGCAGGTTACGCACGAAACCGAGCTATTGAAATGAACAATCCCTCTCAAAGAGATGTCGACAACAAACACAGCGACCACTGCAAAAAAAGAAGCTGTCAAAAGTTCCTCTGCTTCCTGGACAGTGACGATGTAATGCACAAGCATCGGGTTATTGAACAAACTCTTTATATGATATCGATTGTCGATGACAAAACGCGAGATCAAACTATTTTGGGGTGCACTTTCGATCGAGATCCTCCTGACTCCACCTGGCACTATTGCCAATGGGCAAATAATCTGTCGGATGAAAGACTGATGCTTGAGAGGTATCGAGAGCTCACAATTTTGCAACCCACTTGGTTTATGCCATTGTCAGTGTGGTCAAAGGTGGGTGGCTACATCGAAGCTCCTTCACTTGAGAGTAGCCAAACAGTACTAGAGGTCAAGGACCAAGTCGAATCGCTTTCATCGCCACAGATAACTTGCCTTGTCCATCCGAAGTACGACACTTTATCCTCTCTTCGATTGGCGGAAGATTTGCGATTCTTTCACGCACACCTCCAATCAGGTGGTGAGTTGCGTCTCCACCGAACTGCCTTGGCAACAACAATAGATACGACACCATATCCTCTCGTCACCTACCGTCACGCAGAAAACGAAGAGTCCCAAAGCTTTCGAACTAGTCGAAAGCTCCTATTGCAACTACGAACTCTAGCTTTCCAAAACGGAACCATCCGAGGAAATCCGCTCTGGAACAAATTTGTGGTATGGGGGTGTGGCAGGGATGGCAAGGACTTTTTCAAAGCGCTGGATCGAGACATACAAGAGCGCGTCTATTGTTTCGTAGATGTTGATTTGAAAAAATTAAATGCTGGTTACTACGTTGATACGACAGCTCACCGAGCCGAAAGCAAGGAAATAAAAGGGAAGCAACAAAAGAAATCGGGCCGAAAAATACCTATCGTGCATTATTCCTTCTTAATACCAGATCAGAAGAAACGAGAACTGTCACAGTCTGAATGGATATCAACAATTGCAGATGGGGATTCTTTGGTTATCGGCCGCATCGACAAATCAAAATCGGGAAGCGTTTCCGTTCCAACCAAACTGTTGCCGGCAAAAAAGAAGCATAAAACGCACTCGGGAACTTCATCTTCCACCGGGCTCAATTATCGCGGGCTTGATCAGACAGTCCTCTCTCACCTCCCAGTCGTCGTGTGCGTTGCAATGTATAGAACAAATGGAGTCCTGGAGAGCAATGTGGCGAAAATCTGCAGAACCGAAGGGAAAAATTTGTGGCACTTTAGCTAAAGAACTATAATTCATAGTTTCTGCACCATGGAAATCCATCGACTACTTCCGACTACTTTACTTCGCACGACAATAGATAGTTCATACGCCAATACACTTTGTAATTCTGAGACATAGTAGCAATTGTAAGATAGATTACGTGTACAGTACCCGAAATGACCAATCGTAGTGATCCCCCCGGATCGTACTTTTGGGGAAAATCATCGCTTGCAGAATTAATTTTCCTATTCTTCGATATTTCTCAGCACCGGCATAAAATCAGGTGAAGCAGATTTTCTTCCGATAGAACGCCGTTTCGTAGGAGACAAGTAAGTCTCCTCCCACCGGCGATTGTCTGGCGGAACTTTCCGAACTTCCTATTTTGTCGAAACTGCTGCCGACGCTTGGGGCGGTGTGGAAGACGGTTTTGCTTTCTGTGTTGGCTTTTCGATCGTTTTGGGTTTGACGGACGCAATCTTCGATGTCGTTGACGATTGGCTCGCTAGGGTCTTGGAAATGTTTGCTGCTACCACCGACGCCGACGAAGACGGAGCCGACGACGACGACTGGCTCGGTGTCGCGAGGAGGGGTACCCCGACAGATCCACCGCCCCCTCCCGAGCTCGCGATCGCGAGACCGGTGGTGGCCGAGAGGTTGAGTCCCCCGATTCCGGGTGCGCTGGGACCGTAAAAGTATGGATCGGCAATGGTGTTGCTGCTCAGTCCGAAATAGCGACCGCTCATTGCGTGAAAGCATCTCCGGTCGAGATGATCCACCAATCGATTATTTTCGGGAAGATAAAACGGGTGGTTTTGTTCCTGTTGACCCTTCGAACCAAACATTTCTTCGTTGTGCGTGATTGCTCGCAGGTCGCTTGGTTCAGGAATCTGTGGAAGCGATGGAATGGGAGGAACCGAATCGGTGCTGGTTTGAATAGTTCCTTCGGGAGTAACGTCAGTAGATTCTTTTTCTTCCTGACGAAGAACAATTGCCCTTTCTCGCTCGTTGACTTTTGCAATGTATTCCAATCGTTTTTGGGTGTATTCCTTCGGATACGGCAGGGKGAGAGATAACGGAGCCATGTCTGAGTATTGCGGAATCGTCTTTCTATGGTTGCGGGTACTGCCAGTATTGTTTTCCGAAGAAGCCGTTGACAAAGAACTTTCACCGTTGTTGTTTTTCTGAAAGGCTTTTATGAGGCGTTCGGATAGTTTTTCCATTGCCTTGAGCTTCATTTCTTTTGCAACAACTTCGTCGGTTGCTTTGGAGTCTGGGTTGGGATCTGCAGCTGACGGAGGCTTTGTTTCGTCGCCATCCATAGGTGTTGGTTTGGTTGCGTCTCCGCCAGCACTTGGGACCCCTCCCGGTACGGCCGGTAGGAGAAACAAATCCCCCGGTACCAGTTTCGGAAAGTGCAGGCAAATTTTTACGTCGCTGTCAAACATGTCGCCCACGGTGCGTTCAACGCTGGATCCTCGGTGCGGAAACTCGGCCCTGGTCTCCGCCGTGTATCCAGCGGCGGCCATCGTCTGGGCAAAGACTTGGTTCGGTGATACCATTGAGGTCGAGTCGCTCGCGCTGCCGGAGTTTTGTACCCGGGCGCTGGTTCCCGGGGGAAGCAACAAACCCGGCGAAGACATCGGAGTAATTCGGATGCTGCGCATGGAGCTGCGTTTCTTGTTATGGGAGGGGCTGCTGCTTGCCTTGGAAATAGCCAAAGAAGGAGTAACCGGCGGTGCTTGTTTCTGTTGCTGCTGCGCACCTTTTGTCTGGTTGGTGTTGTTCTTGCCGTCAGAAGCAACAGATGTTGAGGTCTCTTTTGGTTTCAATTTCGTCTTTGGCTTGGAGGCGGGAAGAATCCTTGGATTTTTCTTCCCGGAGTCAGCCTTTTGGGGTGACTCTTTCCGAGAAGAAGAACCTTCTGCTCCGGCTTCAGACGAGACAATCTTCTTTCGGGGGGACAGATCTGTTTCGGGTTTTGCTTTCGTTTCCGAGTTTGAATCCCCGATGCTTTGACTACCAGTCTCCTTTCCCGCGGAAGCATTAGCGGGTTTTTCCTCCAACGAAACAGCTTTGTCTTGTCGTTCTTGCCCTGCTGAGGATGCCATCGCCTTGAACGACCCTCCGAGAGAAAGCTTTATCCTCTTCTTTTGGTGGCCCTTGCCATCAGTTGCAGATGCGGCCCGTTTTCGAGAATCGTCGCCACCATCTTCGTCGACGGTGCTCTTGTCGTCCGTGTCGTCGTCGTTGCTCGCCGTGAGAGAATTGGCAACATCGTCGGTGGTGCCGTCGCTACTGCTGTCGCTGCTAGAGGTCGTGGTTTCGTCGTCGTCTAGCATCTGAAGCTGCTCTAGAGACGCCATCGTGAACGTCGGCTTGTGGATGGATGGAATGCCAGTGACAAATAACGGTGCGTTCGGATTGGTTTCCTTCAGTCGCCAGCGTCATCTTTGACTTTTTGCTCTTCTCGAATCCATCCAAGCCCAGGCCAACGGCGTCATAAACGGCACCATCATCGTGAAGACAATCATTTTTCCACAATCAGGGGTGCTTTCGCTTTGGGCGAGAACTCATATTATCATATGTACTGTACTATGGTATCGTACCCAAAGCAAAAATTAAATTAAATCCAACAAGTCGAACGAACTGATCCACGGAGGCGATTGCAACGATTCAAAAACAATTCGTATGTTGACGTCAAAAATGTGCAGAACAAACAACTCTGCTGTAAACACAATGAACTTCCAGTACTGCTACAACACCTCCTAGAGGAAACAATCTCGATTGACCAATTGCCACGCCCGCAAGGTGCGACTAGAATACATAGTTCGGTACTTGTTGTTGTTCAAGTACCGATGAGTGAATCCATTTGATTCACTACGACGATGACATTTGCCGAGGAAGATACGGAAGACGAGGAAACGTGGATCGCACTGGACGTGGAAGACAATGGGCCCAACGAGAAATTTCGAAACGAAGAAACTCCTGCTCCCGATGTGGCCCATTTTGTGAGAAGCGAAGGGAACGAACAAAACCGTGGTTCCGGGAACGCGAAAGCCAATGCCAAACCCAATTCCCTTCCGAAACAGCCAGTGCCCCAAGAGCGGCAAACGAGGAGACGGTCTCACGCAGGCGACAATGGCGGTGGCAGCACCAGCAGTGCTCGGCTTCGAAACGTTCAGCGAAAGCTCGAAGACAGAATTTCCATACAGACCCACCTAGTCAACCACCCAATCGATTATTTTTGGCAGCGCTGTTTGATAAATTCGTTGCGACAGGTATGGCAGCTGGAATTCCGCATACGACTTGGCATTCTCTTGCTAGCGGCTGGTCTCCTGACGAGAGTATTCCTATGGTCCACTTGGTATCTCATGTATCCGCGATTCGCCATTCTCAGCTTCCTTCTGGTGKCGAGCATATTGTACCTCGATCCTTTCGATCTCCAGGACCAAATAAAAGATGCACGGGATTTTCTTGCGGCTCTGACCGCGCCATCGTCGTCCATTTCTCAACAACAGCAGCAGCTGATGGTCAATGGCATCGACACTGATCAAATCCGTCGACTTTCGCTCGTTCTTTTTCTACTACCGACATTTTTGGAAGTAAGAACACTTTCGTTTCTCTCGTCAATCAATGCGGAACTCACGGTGATGAACGCAGCCAATGCAAGTGCCGACGGATGGACATTCAAATGGGCATCTTCCTATCTCTTTGACATTGGGGTCACTCTTTGTATTTTCACTGTTATGATGTTTCTACTCAAAGTCAGGCGTATGAAATGCTGCGATGTCTCCCATCGCGGATTGTTGATTCTCTATGGCTTTACCCTCCTGATCACGATCAGTAGCTACGACAATGGGAAGAACGACCTGCGACGAATCCCTGTCCTTGCGGCTCCTTTTTTCACGGCTTCCGCTACTCTTCTGTTGATGTACCAGGACGACAGAATGGAATGGCTCTCCCGTATCGTCCGACAAACATTCCGCTTGTCGCTTCGGGATGTGCTGTCCTCGGTCAGCGAACGAGTCACCGAGGATGAAATGTTGCAACTGGCCATCCTTAGATGGATTTGCGACTTTTGGGCGTCGACTCAGGCATCGGCAAGCAAGCCCGACACAATCGACGACTCCAACAGCTCGTCGACCATACCAACTAGTACCGCACTTCTACCATTGCAGTCATCGTCGGAGCTTAGTCGTGTCTCTTGTACAAGCGCTACTCCTCCTTCTGTGGAATCGAACACAGCAAGGCCGTTTGAACCGAATGTCATCCAATGGGAAGAGCTCCAGCCGATGCTCAACATCGAAATCGATCACATGGAAACAGAGATCGTTGCGCTCCAACCTGGTAACAATCATAGTTGTGGCAATAGTGACAAGCCTTGCGATGACGGACACCATGAGTCCGAACGCCGCGGCAGTGATCTTGGTTTGGTGCAACTTGATCAAATGGATGGAAGGTTGTCACCAAATCCAAATGCTTTACAACACCACAAGCAACAAACTTCCGAAAGTATGGATTCTTTGATGGCCCTGAAATCTATGCTTGTTTCCTTCGACGTCGACGATCGGGCACAACCGGCTGTTCTCGCGTACAAGAGAGCAGTTGAGTCCTTTCCACCAAAGAAGAAGACAGCAGTGACAGTCTCCGTGATACGAAGGTGTCCAGCATTGCTCACGCTAATACTTCACATTTTTTCTGCGAACGATTTCAATTTGTTTTTCATATCAACTCTCATTCTCAGTCCATTCATTGCGATTGAATATTATCGGATCATTGGCTGGATGGATGCATGTGAGCGATATTCACCCATTATCGATACTGAACGCGACGAAAACGAAGCAGAAAATGATTGGAGAATACCAGTGTTTTTAAGAAATTTGGACACCATGACCATTCTTTTTTCTGACGATGTTCACAACGCGTTTCGTCCCCCGTCGCTCTTGCTAGTTTGGCACAATATTGTGGGTTCTGTCTCTGCTTTGGAAATGGGGCTTTCGACAGCTCGATGCGCAGAGACCACGGCCGTTGCAATTGAATTTGCAGGAAGCGCCATGTCTTTGGTGAAATTTGGCTTCGAAGTTTCCCAGAACGGAATATTTCACGGTGCAGTGGTGTTGCTGAAGGAAGCGTTGTCGATCCATGCCAGTGGCCGTGATATAAGAAACCCCGGCTTTTCGGACGATGGTGAGGCGGAATATACGAGCGCTGCAATTCGTGCGGTTCATTCCGGACAAAAAGTTGTCCGGAACATACACGCCCTCTCCGAAGATCAAAACGTGATGCATGCTGCACAGCCAGTATTGCACTTCTTTGGGGCTCTGGTAGGTCACAAGTGGTTGTGGGGAAAAGATGAAGAGGAGAACGAAAATGCTGATGCAAAATCAAAAGTCATACTGGGTGATCCTGGAATAAAAGATGACAATATTCGTAGTGATAACGAGGCAGAGCTAAGAGACCACAAGACCAAAGCTAGTGAGACCAACGAGGGAAATGATAAAAAAGCTACAGACAAATTTACCAATGATGAGGAAAGCATGTCTGGAGCTTCCAATAACTCCATATCGGTTTCGGAGTTACTAAGCCCCGAGGAAGAGCTTACCGAGGTCATGGAAATGGTTGCGCTTGCCTACGAGTACGAACTAATTGAAGAAAGAGAAAAGGACGAATTCTTTCAAAAGCTTGTCGATTTCCGAGAAGATGAACTTTATGATCGATCCATTCTATCTGCGATGAAAAGAACACTGCAAATTGTCCTCGAAAACGGCGAAAAAGATCCCACTCGAGATTCAGTAGCTCCTTCGAGTGATTTTGTCGAATCTCATCTTCAGATCCACGGCACTGGAGAGACCGAAAATCGAAACGATGAAATAGTGAATGAGCCAAAAGAAAGTGAATCAGAAAATTCTGAATTTCCATTTACGAATGAATCCGACGCATCACAGAAGAAGGAAACCGATCAAAATGCCACCCAAGACTCTATAGCTCCTTTGGGTGGTGTCGATAGATCTATAGTCGACAACCACGATTCTGAAACATTCGAAAATGAAAGTGATGGAACGGTGAATGAACCGAGGGTAATCAAGACAAAATATTCTGGGGTTCCACTTCATAATAAATTTGATGCATCACAGACAGAGGACACCGATCAAAACCCCACCCATGATTCTGTGTTTCCTTCTAGTGCTGTTGACAGACCCGTACTCAACGATCACGATACTGGTGAAATGGTGAACGATCGAAGAGCAGCTGGGATGAAACATTCTGAATGGCCTCTCTCCAATGAATCAGACGCATCACAGACAATGGAAACCGATCCATTCAATTCAGGAGAAGATAAATCTAAAGAAGAAAAAACTGGTGAAGACAACGACAATTTACTAGCCCTTGGTATAGCAGCATTAGGCGTGGTTGCCGGTGGGGTTGTTGTGGCGATGGGAATGAATGCACAGAAAACGAACGAAACACGCGAGTCTTTCGATGCTGCCAAAAATGTTAAGAAATCAAACGACGATCGAGAGACGAATGGATCGTCTACAGTGGAGATTGTAGAGCTGACGGATCATGAATCGGAAGAAAACTGGACAGCCATAGATCAGTAACGTGGTAACTCATTATCCTGTATTTTCAAGTATCATAAATCGATTCACAAATCAACTTTTTTCCTGAAATCATCGGCCTCTCCACTCTCGATAAAGTGTTGCGCTCTAATATGTTCGGCCTCCTTGTGCTTGGCAATAAAAAATGGATTCCCGCCGGGTTTGTTGTACAACGGGCAATCGTAACATCCCTTTTGGGGACAGTTTGGACTCATKAAGCACTTGAATTTCAAGGAATGATACCACGAGGTCTGACGATTCCTGTCGCTATCCATTCCTGCAACATGTAGAGGAATTGGAGTAAAACCCTGCCGAAAATTCTTTGAGTCCAACCTCATATCTCCTTTGTCTCTTGCAGTCTCGAATGTTTTGAGTTCGTCGTATGATACGTGATGCATGCATGAGACGGGGCAGGAATCGATTGCTTGGTTAACATCTCCACTATTTCGCTGGAAATAAGTCCTGGCGCGGCCTGACTCGACCATTTTAAACGAAGTTGGAGCAATGAGTGCACAATGTGTACATCCTATGCATGATTCTTCGTCAATGAATACTAAATTCATGTTCCGAGAACAAATATTGTTAAAAGAGTCAGTCAATTGCCATATCGTTGGTGTAAGTGATATCAGTACTACACGACTGATGTTTGCGACACAAAGAAACCTACCGAATTCTCCATCTCTCATTCTGAGTGGTGTCTTTTGATCGCTCGCCATCTCCACAAGCTCGTGACTACTCGAACCTTTAGTGCTGGACTTTGATTTTCTTTTAAGTTCGGGTGCATTATAATCCCAATCTAAGATTTCACACTCGTCCACAAACATCTCGTCAGTTGTTTTCCTATCACCATTACCGTGCACGGTCAACTTTGACGTTCGTTCACGTTGTTCTTCGACAAGATGAAGTCGTTCTTGTTCTGCTTGTGATATCATTCCGTGGGCTACACACACGAAATGACATTTTCTCTGAGAATGAATGGAAACGAAATAAAATGTAACTCAACGACAATATTTTTCATTCGAGCAACCTACCACGAATATCTCTCCAAACAGCGTCTCGGAACGGGGTTCTCAACTGAAGGTGCCGTTTCACGGAAACTGTTGATAAGTTGGATGCGTCACCAACAATGCAACGCAGGTAAAGATTTTGAAACTCCTCCTCCACAAGCCGACCGCTTCCGTACGAGCCGAAGTCCGACAAGGTTTTCAACACACGATGATCGTGCTGGCTCACCTTGCCTTCTCCCTCGGACTTTAGAGATTTTGTCATCCAGGAAGCAATAGAAGCTCTATCCATTGACAAGATTCCATCTAGGGTACTAGGAACTGCGTGCTCCCGGAACATGGTGGAAACGGCATCTCTTAAAAATTTCGTCGCCTCGAATTCACCATCCTTGAGAAACACAAGCTGTGAAACTTCGTTCTTTTCGTCGTTGGTCAATGGAGCATAAGCCCTTCCCCCCGCAATCAATAGAGATTCGGGGTCCTCGTTGCATCGAACCAGCATTGCGATCTCTTCGTCCATCTCACTTTCCATGGAGGCCTGGATTTTGTCATCCGCACCATGTTCATCACCGGAGTCGTCATCCAGCGTCGGAAAAAGGTTGTAAATCTCGTCCACCGCATCCTGAATCCAAATGTCCTCCTCTGACATAACCTTCGTCCCTTCTCCAACGTTGGCATTGTCTATTTCTTCAATTTCTTCAAAGTCGCTACTATCCATCACCCAGTCGCTCAATGCAGACCAAGAGTTGTTTTGGAAACTATCAAAAGAATCGACGTTGTCCCCATCATAGGAGTCAATCGAATTCGCTAGAGACGTCCCAATTCGAGAAACAACTCCACGGTGAAGTTGAAAAACACCATTATGGGACGGGGAAAATACGAAACAAGAACCGAGGCGAGGCCTGCAAACAAATAACGTCTGTAAAAAGATTCTCGACCTTCCTTTCATCTTCGTCTCAGACGTTTTGCTCTGTCAAATGCAGTGTATGTATTGAGTATCTACAAAACTCAATGCATCTTGAAAGCATGCACACGAATAAGTTGAGTACGTACTCATACTTGTAGTATTCTTGCTCTACCTCGTTCCTGTTTGTTTGGTAGGCTTCTCCAGAAGGAGCCGGCGACAGAAAATGTAACCAGATTGTCAAAAGAATCGTTTTTTAATCAGAATAACCTCGGTAGCGATACGGGTAGGCTTAAGTAAAAATTAGACTAATCGTAGTATCGTACGGTCTTAAAAGTACGGAACTGGTACTGTTTTGGGTTCTGATGGATCTCTTCTTCGATCTTGTCATAATTTGAAAAAAGGGTTTCTTTTAGTCGCGAATGACGCACTAAAAAGAATAAGATAACAGGTAGTACCAGGCGGGGGTCATATCCGGCTCGTAGTCAGTCGAATGAGTCGTATGGATCCTTCAAAGCAATTCTGACGGCCTATTCGTTGATGTAACGACATGTAACTGACAGCCTCGGGAGAGCGTCTCAAACCGTTAATTATACGTTATTAGACGATACTCGAGATTTAAATTCAATTGCATGACACCAGAATATTTTAATCCCAACCCCTTCCTTCCTGCAATTCTTTGTGATAAGCACACATCTTTCGAAAACATGGTGTTCATACCTTATTGAATAAAAACGAGATAACTATTATCGAAAGAAAATGAAGATTACTCTTTGTTTCCTATTCTTGTTCTTCTTACTTTATCAACGAACTCACGGTTTACCTGCTGGATTCCGTGATGAAGGCGTTACTTTCAGGTCGGGAACGACAGGTTTCGCCTTCGTTCCAACAGGGGAGGGAGAATCAATTCTATTGCTTTGCCAGCGGAAAGGAAAAGTTTTTGCGCTCCTTGATCCCGACAATCCAGATGGAAAATTGTTAGAAATTCTTGACATACAAGATAGGGTATGTAGCCAAGGAGAGCGAGGAGTTTCCCAAGTACAGCCCCACCCGAACTTTCTCCAGAATAGATACGTCTATCTTACGTACACGTACGATAAGCATGGTGGATGCGAATTCAGCGATGTTAACGGTCCTGTGAATGTGGTGTCTCGATTCCGGCTCGATGACGATCTGAAAATGGTGGATGAAAAAATAATCCTGCAAACGAGCCCTTTGCCAACTAAAGTTCACAATGCTCTTGATATGAAATTCGGAAATGATGGATATCTGTATGTTACGTTCGGAAATGGGGGAAAGTCAAACGAATATCAAAACAGTCAAAAGTCAAATACGTTGCTTGGATCTCTCGTTCGGATCACAGACGATGGTGGTATCCCTCCCGACAATCCCTTTACGGAGGATGACGATCGACAATGTGGTAGCGATGGGTCAACATCTTCATCAGGAAGATGTTCCGAAATTTGGAGCATAGGACTTCGCAATCCCTTCCGGCTTGCCATGAATCCCAACGAAAAAGACTTCACACAATTCTATGTAAACGACGTTGGAGGAGCAACTTGGGAGGAAATTTCGGAAGTAACGTCGAAAGCACCGGGGAAAAACTATGGGTACAGGGAAATGGAAGGCCCGTGTAGACGTGGGAGCAAAACCGATTGCAAACCAAACGAGAAGTACGAAGATCCCCTCTATTGGTATGAACACAACGATGAGGGTGACGGGTGCGTCAGTGGTGGGGCTTTTGTTCCCAATGGGATTTGGCCAGAGGAATACGACAACAAATACATGTTTGCTGATTTCATCTTCAAGAAGATATTCTTTCTCTCGGAAAATGGGGATGGTTGTCGCGAGTGCTCTCCTCCACGTCCCGCTTTCGATCGAGAATCATTCAAGAGCACCAGTGATACTGGGCAACCCGTACAGGTATGAGCTACGACTTCGACAGGCTTCATTTGCCTTCTTTGCATTACGTGTGTATGCGTCTTTGTACTGCCAACCTAATTTTTCATATGCCACTGAATTTCCTGCAATTGATTTCTTTAGCTGACTTTTGGACCCTACAAGAATACCCAAGCGCTTTACTACAGGTACGTTGAAACATCATTGAAGTTTGAACGATCTCTAGGTTAAATCTCGAGAAAAGAGTGTGTACATGGTTGAGAACTAATTTCCAACACTTGTTTTTGCCCTTCTAATTACTTCACAATACTGTAGTCTTTGGTCACCAGATGAATCATTCTCGATAAGGCGCATCGTCTATGAGGGAGGAATGAACCGCGAGAACAAAATTCCGGACGCAGAAATTATGTTTAAGGATAAAGTTTTTGAGATCAATGAAGACATTGTCTTTGATGGTACCAGGAGTTCAGATCCTGACGGAGACAAATTATCTTTCGCATGGGATTTTGGAGATGGTGATAGTTCTACAAGAGAAATCATAACCAAGTCTTACAATACAACAGGGAAATATACGGTAAAACTCACCGTCAAGGACGAAAATGGATTTGAAGACTCAGCTTCCAAAACAATTATTGTTGGGACACCTCCGAAGCCAGTAATTGTATTTCCTAAAGAAGGTACCACATTTGCTGTGAACGATGACCATTTTGTTTTATTTGGTTATGCTACTGATGCCGCTGGAAATTCGCTTTCGGACGAACATCTAACCTGGGAGGTTCGTCAAGTGCATAGTACGCACTACCATCCATTTCTCATTGAAACTGTTGGAAATGAAATTCGCATACCCCCAGCTCCGTCACCGGAAGATTTCCATGCTTCTACGAATAGTTATTTGAAAATTCTCTTGACAGCTACTGACAGCGATGGTCTAACCAGTACAACGACAAGGGACATCATGCCCAAGACGAAGAAACTGTATTTTAATACTGATCCGCCAGGTCTTGAATTGATACTTGATGGATTCACTCTGAAGACGCCTGATGATGGCCCGCTAGAAGTATTAAGTTGGATCAATCATAACCTTGTCATAGATGTTGAAGATCAGGGTGAAATGGTATTCGATAGATGGAATAATGGAATCAGTTCTCGTCACAGCGAGGGCAAAGTGGATGATGTTTTTGGTGATAGTGTTAACACAGCAATATTTTCAAAATTGAACTCGTCTACCGCGTTCCCTGTGGAAGCAGATGTACCTGTCGTATCACTTACGCCTATCGAAGGTGGCGAGGAGGCAGAGGAAACACACGGACCGATAGGAGAAAATGAGAAAGACCAAGTTAGTGAAACTACAACAGAAACCTCGACAAAAGAAGAGACAGCAGACGAAGAGCGGGAAACCATCAATGAAGACGAATGCAACTCGATTTGTAAGTGATCTATTAGATGTCTTGTATCAAAGCTTTTGACTCTGTCTTGTCTAACATTTGTTGCACGGCATAACTCTCTCTATTTTTAGATGACACGATATGTGAAGACATCAATTTGATAGGTTTTTGTCAGGCAATAACAGATGCTGGATTGAAAGATGTTTTTGACGAAGGAGAATGGACCATCTTCGCACCTGATGATGCAGCCATAATGAAAGCTCCGGAAGAATTCCATAGTCTCATTCGAGATCATAACACTACTGATATCGAACCGTTGAGAGAACATATACTATACCACAGCTCACCAAATAAGGAACTTCGGGAGGACGATCTTAAGTGTGACGTTCGTACCAATCTCGTGGAAATGGGCAACGGGAGATATAGTCGAACTCTTTGTGAGGATGACGTTCCTACTTTTCAGAAAGGAAGAGGTAATACTGACGAAAAATTGCCTCGAATAATTGAATTTGACATTCCATCATGCAACGGAGTGGTTCATATTGTAGATCAGATCCTAATGCTATAGTAGAATTTGCCACTACAACTGTAATTTTTTGTCAAATCTACCCCATAAAAGACACGAGGAAAGAAGACGAGGAGTCGTTCTTGTCATAATTTTGATGATGTAACACTCGTAAGGATCTTTCCATGATCGGCTTTCCTTACTTTTCACTGGCAGTATAGTTCTATGTAAACTAGTATTGTGAATAGAAGATAGACACAACAAGACATAACCAAACCCAGCACCAGTGTCTCTTCGAAGAGGACCTCTAGTAGTAACACTACCAATATTAGGATTTTTTTCTATTTGTTACTCCTGCTACTGGTAGTACAATGCTTACTAGTACTTGTTGGTGGTGGTGGTTCAGCAGGAGAAAATTGTCATCATGGTGCTGCTGCTGGTGGTTGGTGGAGGAATGTTTTCCACCGATGTCAAGGCTTGTTGATGTTGATGTTGTTCTTGTTCCCTTCTTATTTGAGCTTGATAAGATCTCTATTGTAACTAGTAGTAGTACTACATCACACAAAACGGACCCAGGGTATGCCGCGGAATCTTGACAACCAAGTGATGTATAATCCTTCAGTTGAAGAAGTTGATTGTGTGCTAATAGAGTCTGCAATGGATGTTGAGTAGATTTGAGTAGAATGCCTTTTTGCCCTGTAGGACGTCGTAGGTTTTATACGGTTAACGCATTTTACTATGATTAAACTCGTACTCGCACGAAGCTGAAAAAAGTACAGAACGAGCTCTCTTGACAGGCGTGATTTTTCTTCTCGCACGCCGTTTGAATGTGAAGAGGGATGGTTCCTGTAATCGACACCAAAGCGGTATCTGTCAGCCATTCCCGACCATTCCTGATAGTTAAAAAGTAGTACTACCTACTGTAGTGGTAGATAGTATTTCAATACAGTATTCGCAATAGTACTTGCGAAGAATTAGTGGTGACTCTTCTTCCGACGTCCCGTGGATCGTCTCATCCAAAGAATACGCTCGGCTGCGTCAGTTGTCCTGAACCATGCAGCCTTGTAGCTCGGTAGAGGGCTCACATGTCACGCAGCCGCTGTTTGGAGGCGCTATCGCATGTGATTTGCCCGCAGGATGGAAAGATCTCTCCGATGTGAGGCCCATTCCCGATAACCAGGAGTGTTTTCAAAACAGTTTGGTCGACGAGAATCCGATCATGTTGGTAGTCGAGATATTGGAAAGGCAGGAACAAATAGGAGACCAGGATGCTGCGTCCTTCTTTTTCAACGAATTAGCGGAGCGGAACGATGTTCTGCAAACGAAGAACGATATTCGGTTTTTCACATTAGCAGAGCCTGTTTTGGCCACAGCCCTCCTCGGCGATGCTTCAGTCGTGGCCGGTACAAATACAGTTCTTACTTGTGCTGGTTATGGTTATCAAAAAGTTGCGATGGGACGAGATTATGACAATGCAGGAAACAGTCGTCGAGAAAATCAGGAAGTAAAGTGCATAAGAGTAGATTTATGTGTCCTACGACTTCAAGCACAAGAGACAGATCTGCTGGTCACCATATCCAGACCTGTCGATGACATCAATTTGAACGAAGCGTCTCTGGATTCTTCGTCGGCAGAAAGCGCAATCCTTAGTCAAGTCATCTCGACATTTCGCATTGATAACTGGGGATTGTTCGGTTGAACAGACCAGTTGGTTCGGTGTATCTATTCGTGTGTAGCCTCAGAAACACCACCTGATACTTCGTCAACGTCTTAAAGTCTTCTAAATACGCGCCTGTCCAGAAAATAGTCAATATCAGAAGGGCTCTCATCGTCACGAAGCTGGAAGATAGATTGTTCGTAAATCTGTATCTGTGTACCAGATACGCCAGCGGCGAGTAAAAGGGTCAAAATATGTGTTCACCTCGTGGCCCAGAATGGTGGAATCGTTGCAATATTTTCTGTTGTTTTGATTCCGAACATGTTCTCTTTCCTCCAAGAATCGTGCTCGCATTCGATGCAGAGTACCTCCCCCGTTTGTGATACTCTTGTTTCCCGTTCTAATTGGTGCCCCTAATCGCCTTCTTCGAACGTTCAATAGTTTGTCTTCACCGTCCTCTAGTCGCAGAGGGAGCCGGTGTGATTCATCGTTGTCGTCACCGTCGATTTTAGTGTGTGTGGTGGGGAAGAGACCACATTCATTGTTTTCGCTTTGAGCCGATCTATTCACCACGACACACATGGACATCGCTAGTCTCCGAGCTCCGACGGAATGACCTACGGTAGAAGTTCGAAAACAAAAATGGTAAGAACTATGATCAAATGCTATTCGTAACGCGTGTGATATATCTTCGAACTTACCCATATCATCAAAAAAACCTGTTGCATCGCGGCCGCTGTGGACCATAAGAGTGTCGGGAGATCCTGGAAAGGCACAAGAGGAGCAAGAATGAGAACACCTGTGGACTGCTTGAATTGTGGCAAGCTAGATACGCTTGATTCAACCTACCTGGATGGCTAAACAGAAATGGCGTGATATCATAAATATGCGAATGAATGCCCACCAAGCAACTCTGAAACGTATTGTGACCAGCAAGAACATAGTCTAGATAGGATTGTTCAAAGAGAAAATAGAAATCTTTGCTGAAAGTCCATTGTTTGCACTTTGACCGCTGAAGTGCTTCTTTTCCAATTTTCCACTTGAAGACAATCCATGAAAAATCCCTATCCCACAGTGTTTTCCATATAGCTGCCGACGTCTCGTTGTTCGGGTCGTCCGTGATACAATGGTACGCCTTGGACACACAGGAGAGCGTCACGACATCGCGCGGATGTAGAAACGATGCAATTTGAACATGGACATCAGGAGGCAGTAGCCTCCCCAGGGGGTCACAGCCATCATTGCCATACCGAGACGAAGGCAGAGGCGGTGTACATAAAGGGGAAGACAAGGGTTCTGATATGTCGAGCCCTTGCGTTTTCTTCCAAACCATGAAAAATGCGATTGTGGCTATGATTGGTTCGGGCGTAGCATAGTTGCCTACGCGATCCAGGAGATCTTCTGCAGAGAAACCATTCATGTTTATTTTTTCGTTCCCAGTTCTATAATCATTGTCGAACCCCAGCCGAAGCAAAGTGGCGAAATTCAAAAGAGGCTTCCCCGAGCAATATAACCCAGCCCCGTCCAGGAGCTCCTCTGTCATCAATTCCTTTTCTTCGTTATCAATAGAAACAATCATTTTTTGACCAGCAATCTGGGATCTCTCGTCGTCGATCATTCGATGGTTATTGGTATCTCCTTCGTCGTCTTCGTGATACGAACGATTGCAACTGATTTCTCGTCGAAACACAGTTACGGCACTCAAGATTGCCCATAGAGCAATGTGCGCGCCGTACGTCGAAAGATAGTCATAAAACTCATCCCAATCCTTCAGATACATCGACAACCTATGAGCCGACGGCATTATTTAATGAATGCTCCAATGTTGTTTGTTTTTTTTTTCATCGAAGAAAAATTAAGTTCAGGAGGTGTTATGGACCTCTGGTATTTCTACCGCATGCAGTGGCAATACGGTCGAGATCGTAACGAAAGAGGTAGCCTCTCAAGATGCCTGTGTACGATGATAATTCTTTGGAACTAATTCAGAATACTGTAACGTTTTTCTCCACTCCGCAGACTCAGGCTATCCTCATTATTGTTCCTTTAGCGAAGTAGAAGTACTCGTAGTAGAACTCGTCGTAGCAAGGACCATACAGTATGAAATAATAATACCTTGCAAGTACATGCGGTACGTACTGTAATGCTCAGTAAGGGCCAGCAAGGAAAACACGAGGAGGGAATAATCTTGCATTAGGCAAAACACGAGGCAGGGAGACGGCCAGCATCTGTTTCATGACAGCCTCCGAACAGTACGGTACGTACCTACGACCCCTGCCTACCGCAGTGTACGAACAAGGGCACAAGTCTCTTTGTGGTAAGAGTAAAGAGTTGGTACGTACGTACCGTACGTATCGGTATGTATCGTAGGTACGGTATGGTGCGTAATCAAAATAATTTCAGTCGGGACTAAGTAAGTCCTGAATACACCAAACACAAAGAAGTTCATGCCGACGACTCTTTGAGAACTGGATGATGTGTTCATCTAAGTCCTCGTAACTTGAAAAGTAAAAATAAAACTATGAAAATCGATAAATCTGTGTATTCTTTGCCATTGAGAAATCATGCCGAACGCGAAAGTATCCGTCGCAACAGTCATTTACCCGTAAACACTATGGATATGTTGCGGGGTAATTGTTCTGGCTCATCATTTGTGGAGTAGGTGGGAGTGATGGCGGCTCAAAAGTTGTGGACGAATTCAGGTTGCCATACATTTCACTCTCTCCGTAGCCACTGCTATTGACCTGGCCGTATGCGAATCCCCCCCTACCACCAAACACTCGGCGTCGATACTGCACAAAACTGAACCCATCGAACCGTTGCTTATATATGTAATACCCAACGCCACTAACGAGGCTGAAGATTACCACGTTTCGGAACCAGTGAGACTTGCTCTCGCCTTCTCCTGAGTCAGAGGATGGGTCGATATAATCATCATCCTGAGGGATATATGGCTTTGGTGTTGGCTTGTTTCCGGGATCCGACGGAGCCGGTTTGGGGGCCGGTTTAGGAGCCGGTTTAGGGGCGGGTTTAGGAGCCGGTTTTGGAGCTGGCTTCGGAGCTGGCTTTGGCTGTGGCTTAGGTGCACTTGTAGGAGATGGGGCTTCCGACGGAGGAATACCATCTGATCCCTTCAGGCACTTTTTAGAAAACAACTTGTAGAAATCCCACGCTTCTTCAGAAATTTCAGCTTCGCAATCCAGCCGACGAAATGCCGGGAAAGGGCCAGCATTACCACAGCCGTCTTTAATATACTTGCATTGACCTTCTGGAGTCCAGGGATCGTCGTCAAATACTTCTTCCACGTTGTCCTTGCAGGGCTTATAGAATTCGTTCCATGCATCGCAGTCGATCGCATCAAGAGATTGACAAGCATCGATCGATTCATAAAGAATTGTCTTGAAATTCATGAAAGAGGGGCACAAGGGGCATGCATCCGAGGCTTTTTTGGAACAATCGCAAAAAGTCCCCGCGTGCTCGTATAGATTTGTGGCGAGAGCGGCGATCGCTTCCTTCGGTGCATTCTTGCTATTCCCATCCACGGTTGGATTGGTCATTGCGTTCTTTAGAATTTGCATACATGACAATGCTGTCCGTCCGCCGTGGTTCTCTTCATCTTTGAACGAGTGAGCACATGTTTCAAATGCGTCGAGCTGTCCAAAGTTGTTTTGATCGAATTCAGTGACCAAGAGAGAAACGCTATCCAGATTTGCACACGAAGAATAATCCATGATGGCCGCAGTCCCCATCCTAGTTTCCTTGGGTGTGCATTCCTTTATTACTTTCTTGTTTTCGTTATCCGTTGGTGTAGATGGTATGACTTGTCCCGGTCCAGATTTAGTAGAGCAAAACTCGCTTTCTGCCTTGTCCGTACAAGAACACACGGTGCAGTCAATGACGGACACAAATGTTTCGATGGCGTAACAGTAATCTGGGGCATCTTGAGTGACTGAATACGAGAGGAACAGGGTGTATACAAGGTGTCAGTATTTTTCTTTTCGTATTGTCGAACGCATGAAAAAAACAAGCGGGAGCACAATGCAACAATCATACTATCACCATTTACTATCAGTGATTTCTCGTGCTAGCATGTAAACATGTACGTCGTCCCGTGCCGAGGTACGGAGCGGTGCGTCACTTACAGCAATCCTTGCAAAGAGGATCTTCGTTGCAAGCACCTAATTGGATCACACACTTATCTTCGATACAACTATATAGATCCTTGAAGCTCCTGTAGTCGGGATCGTCCGCGGCATGGTTCTCGGGCTTTTTACCGTCACAAGTTTTTGGGCAGACTTCACCCGACACACTAAAGTCACAATCTCCGGGGGCGCCACCACCAGCGACTGACGTGGTTGAAATGAAGCATATCACGGATCAAAAGACAAACAACCCAGCACACGAGAGAACAAAACAGTAGATTAGAGAACCTAGTGCTCAAAAACATTTATTGTTGCCGTCCAGTTTGCCCTTCAGACGATGCGCATTGTAGGCAGTCGAGCATCCAAGTTCAGTTGGAGTCGACTCCGTTTCATTCCAATTATGCGGTAATAATATACTCACTCGAGGGAGCTCCATCGCTCATGGGCCGAATCTCCCAGGAGACTTCTACACCCCATGTACCTCCCTGAGCCTTCACATTGTAGCACTGAGGAGCCTTCGAAAGACAAAGGTACTCGTCGCCCCGAAAACCGTCCACCAAACCTCCCTTGAAGACAATATCAGAGCTGCCTTCGGGTTGAATCGTCACCGTAGTCGAATCCCAACCGTCCCCAAACGAGTCGTACATGGTGAGGCGGTATTTCGTTTCGTCTTTGTTGCATACCGTTTTGGACGGATCCGCTCCCTCACCGTTCGAACTCGGGTCACCGGCACACTTGGTGGTCAGGTTGCTGTCGCAGTTGTCGCTCGAGGGATCCTTACAAGCATAGCCGTCGTGGCCACACTCCATGTAACTGGAAGTATCCGTGATCTCGCAGGTATCCTCACAGCAATCCCCTCCGTCGTATCCACAGATTTCCGTGTTGTAGCATCCGTCGATGTTGTCGTGGCAGACGCCGTCGCCGATCCAGTTCATGCGCATTCCTTCCCATTTGCACTCGGTGAGAGAGGCACAGTCCACGGTGTTCTCGTCGTCGTTCTCGTCGTCTTCAGCGCTCGTTGCGTCGTCGTCGTCCCAGACGACACATGAGCTGAAGGCTGCGCAGAAAACAGTTTTAGCGATGACGTCGCTGTTGAGACTCGTGCAATGCCCCCCGCCGGTCAAGAACTTCACGACCTCGTCGCAAGTAATTCCAGGAGTCACCCCCGTCCAATCGATGTTTTCTAGTGCGAGAGTTTCGAAGCAACTCGTGCACACATCGTTGGGGAGGCACTTGATAAAGGCGGAATCGCAAGATTCGGCTCCACTGTCTCCGTCACCAGCAAGAAGGCGATGAATGTTTTCGCGAGTTGCGAAGAATCGATTGTCGAGAAAACGGTCTGGATTAGACGCGAGGCTTTGTTCGGAAGACCAATTATGAAACACAGGGAGAAGATGTTAGTCGGGACTGTAAACATGACGAGGCAAAGAAACTGCCTGTCAATCGAATCCAATCGAATCCAATCCAATCGAACCAAATCGAATCGAACCAAATCAAATCAAAAGACAAGGACAAAGGATGACCAAAACAACACATCGCAACGCAAAACAACACAATGCTTGCAGCACCGCAATGCCAGAGAAACGCACGTCTTGCTGATGTCGATATTCGAAGCCGAACGGGTCGCTTCCGTTCCGCTAAGAGTCGCTGCGGATGCGGATGCGGATGCCGACATCACCAGCAGTAGCATGTCTTGACGGAAGCGGATCTTCATGTTGTTCACCGAGTTTATTTCAAGTAAGTGAACAAATTGGTTGCTACTGGGAGTGTACTAGTGTTTTGGTTCGAAATAATAGGATTTCTTTGATAGTGATAATACAGTGATTGTCTTGCTTTGACAGTTTTCCACTCAATTCTCTGTGCCTCCAAAACCGTGCCTCTTCTTGTCTGAATTGGGTCTCTCTCGTCCAAGTCGTGTGGTGATTGCTAGTGATTCTTCCTCGCTTTTCTCTTTTCTGTGTTTGGTACGAGTAGGGTAGAACGTACTCCTACCGGTACGTACCGGTACTGTAGCATCGTACAATGAATCGCATTCCTGCATGAACCCGGTTTTATCCGTTCTCGCTTGGAAAAACCATCTGGGCTCGAACGGTAGTACTCGTACCATATTGTATTGTACAGGGACTACTCGTACGCATCGTACTTGAAGCAACAAGTCGAACTACGCATAAGGTACGTGCTATAATTTAGAAGTCGATTCGATTCGAAGACAACATCGGTCGTGGGAGTCAAAACAATTCAAAGAACGTAATGCTATTCATGGGAAGAATTCGGTCATATTGTTCCAACCCCGCCCGTCGCTCTCTTCGGTACGTACTCGTACTGGATGATGGCAGAAGTACGAATACGACGCAATAGTACCTAGTACTTCTAGTACGTACTTACAGGTACAATTAACGTTCTCTGCAAGAAAAAAATATGACCTTTGTTGTCGTTTCTCGTACGTACCCCGTATCGGTCGTCGTTAATAGTCCGTTCTCATTGACGTGGGCTACTACGAGGTACCGTACCGTAGAGTGAAAAAACATCTAACGGCATCCATACGGGACTGACTAGCTTCAGATGAAAGGTGCGCCATACCACATGGATCAGAGATAGTCAGAGCTTGGAAACGACAGACGAGGCACTCAGGTTCGACTTAATTCGGTCCACTTGCATTGGTTCTTCTTGACCTCCTCTTCGGTGTTTTCATTGCAGTCTTCTTCCATGAAATCTTTTTTCTTTTTGCAAATACCAGAAGAAGAACAAGAACCCTTTCTTTGGATGATTGATGGTTCTTGGGATAGCATTCTTTGTTCTTAGAGAAACAATATCCCCATTCATTCCTCTTCTTGTTGCTGCCAAATCTGCTGCCACCACTCCTCTTTGTGCCCTGGCTTGAAGAGATACTTGCTGGTAGTATCAGCATTTGCATCTTTCCTTCCCAGCCTTCCTCTCAGCTTCTTTTTGTTTGGCCCTCAACCATGTTGGTGTCAGTTGCTTTGTATTTCTACTTGGTTTCTTTGGCCAAAACCAGGTTTTTTCTCTATAGGATTCTGTATTCCCTCCTGTGGGATGCTTTGAGTGGGTATTTTGTTCTTTATTTCTTGTTTGTTGTCAGAAATATACTAATGTCTAGAAATTTTCACAGTGCACACACAGTGTTATTGTTTATGCAAGTTTCACAAGAAATTATATAGAGTGCACATACAGTGCTACTGTGTAGACTCAAGTGTGCACACCATGGTCACATACAATACATACTAGAACAAGAGATCAGATTTTTCTTATTACATAGATTTGACATACTAGCATCAATGTTCCCTGACAAAATTCTACTAATACTACTAGGTTTGTTCAGTATTGTTTGATTTATTGAATTACAAATTCCCTCACCAATATGATGCCTTCTTGATATGTTGTTTATGGGTTTGTTCAATGTTCAAAATTTTCTTAATGAGGTCATTACTTTATTGTTCCATTGTTTTGAACTGCAGCAATATCCTCAATGTGCCCTGATATAACATTTATGTGCTTCATAAGTGGTGTTTGCATTATTTTGTTTCTTGAGACATGAATTAATACATCACAGTATCACCAGAAGGTTCCCCACCATTTTTTGTTTCAGTCATTGAAGGGGGTCAGGAAATACATCAGCATCACAGTTGAAGAAATTCCAAAAGAAAATTGAGTTGAAGACCACAATTACAATGCAGGGTTACATTTTTTATCTTTAGATGAGCTCTTCATTAAGAAAAATATTACTTAGTGCTCCTTAGTGCTCATGATCCTATTTTACACTGCTGTCTTCTTGGATAATAAAGTACAAGAGGAACGAGCAGGAGTATTGTATCTTCTCTACAACCATAAAATCACTTCATCATTGCCCATAAAGCACATTTCACTTCCCAACCGTGGTAGAAAAACATTCTTGGACTACCAGTATTACTACACTCATCATAATGAAGTACCTAGCACGAACTATCTTGTTCGTATGGTAAGATATCATCATCAACCTTTCATTGTATTTTTGATTTGTTTAGCTAAGTTATGTTTGTGATCAAACGAGTGACGGGCATCGAACAAAACGGCTTCGTCAAACTTGGAGTCATCCCATAGGAGAGTCGTCAACAGAAAATCGTTTTCATTTGAGTTGGAAATAGATCCTGATTGCTCATTGATTAGACGGTCATTACTTCCTTCTCCTTCTTCTCAACAATTCCATCTATCTCCTTCACCTTGTCGTCAGTCATCTTTTGAATTTCATCTTGGCTAGATTTCGATTCATCTTCAGAAATTTCGCTATCTTTCTCGAGCTTCTTGATGGTATCAACAGCTTTTCGACGAATATTTCGGACAGCGACCTTGCCCTCTTCGCCGATCGCTTTGCATTGTTTCATCATCTCCTTGCGCCTTTCTTCGGTTAGACTGGGGATGTTCAATCGAATAACATTACCATCATTCATAGGAGTAAGGCCAACATCAGATTCCATCAAAGCTCTTTCGATTTCACCCAACATAGACTTGTCAAAGGGTTCGACCGTCAGTTGTTGAGCCGATGGCACTGAAATGGTCGCCATCTGATTGATGGGAGATTCGACTCCGTAATAGTCGGCCTTGACACGATCCAAAATGGCAGGGGAAGCACGACCAGTTCGAATAGTGTTCATGTTCTGAAGGACCGATTCGATGGACTTTTCCATTTTGTCGATGGCGTCCATACTGGCTTCCTCAACCGATTCTGCCATGAACACAGAGGGCATTCCGCGGCTCGCCGAGTGCATAGGCTGCAAGGGGACAAATGCCGTGACCGAGGCGATGGCCGCCATCAAATAGATAAAACTTAGCTGCTGCATACTTATGAAATTATTATCCAGATTTTATGAATCAATTAGGTCGTCGTCGTCGTTGACAAAAAATCGAATCGATTGGTGTTGTGGCGTAAGGCAGTATTAGGGAAGATACAGAGTACTTGTACCGTACATTAATCGTCTGGAAGATGTGTCAATCAAAAATAAGAAGGGTGTGCATGTGTGATGCGGGGGGGCCTCTACTGTAGTAGGTTTCTCAAGGGACTGAACCGTGGGCTTCAAGATGACGTACGAAGGTGGACAATCTCATGAAACGACTAGTCCGACAATGACTCATTGGAATAAAAAATCCGACACAACTTCATCTCAGTCATAAATCATAGTAGTAGTACGTACCGTACCGTACCGTACAGTAAATCATCATCCTGCTCCTTCCGTCCATCGCCATCATCAGTCAAATCATACCGGTACGTTGATTCTCACATCTAGGGGTGTACAATTCCTACCGGTACGAACATCCCGAAAAAAATAATGTTCATGGAAAGCGATTGATTGGCAACCATGTAGTGTTAATACAGTACATCAACGATTTTTCGTACGAAATTTTAATTGAAAAAGAACATGGGGCATCGGTGTATTGCACAATGGGGCAAAGTGTTGTCAATACATCAGGAGCATCTCTTTCGACGTCAACCTTCAATACGCAGATGCGGTGGGCTAGGAGTTCTATCCCGACATTTCATGTTTCAGTCGGGGAACATGAACGAAGTCGACTTTAGTCGATTTGGTTCAAAGATCTGTGGTTCTGTCTATCAGAACGTCTCTCACATGAAAATGACGGCATCAAGAAGAGAATCTATCTTCTTTCAACAACGAAGGAAAATCAACAGCAGGGGGTACCACAGTATTGCAGGAGCTTCCCCCCGTCAAATGGCAGATCTTGAGGAACGATTGTGGTCTGTGATAGGAGCCAACGTTGTCGATCCAGAAACTGCATTACACCTCAAGAAATTAGGGTGGCTTCATAGGAGGCTGACAGTGTTTCAGAAGAGTGTGGATGATGATCAAAATCCTGAAAGCAGTGAATCAAGCAGAGATTGTGTTCAAATTCTATTGCAGCTGCCGTCACTCTTGCACCCTACATTAGATTCGCTCAAATCGATGATAGAAAAAGAGGCACGACAAGAGATTGATCAGTGGGTAGCAGACAGCAATTTAGTAACGACTTCTGAATCAAGTAATGGAGGCCTTCAATTCGAGGTAGACATCAAAGCGGTTGCGAAACAACCGATTCCGTGGACAGTGCAGTCGGGGCAACAAAGCCAAGAAGAGGTAAAGTCTGGGTTGGGCCCAGGCCTGACCAATGTGTCGCATTTCTTGGCGGTTTACAGCTGCAAGGGTGGCGTCGGAAAATCTACAGTCGCTGTCAATCTTGCATATGAACTGGCCCGTCTCGGTGGCCGTGTGGGTTTGTTGGATGTAGATGTTTACGGACCTTCTCTTCCCTTGCAAGTTACCCCTGATGACGATGCTGTTCGCAAGTCATCTCTGGGATCAAGCATGGTGTGTCCAATCGAACACAAGGGAGTTAAGTTGCTCTCACTTGGTTATGTATCGTCTAATAGTGGAATTCCTGGAAGTGGAAAGAACAGCGATGCAGCAGTTCTGCGCGGACCCATGGCTGGAAGAGTTGTCACACAGTTGTTGAAAGGAACGGAATGGGGGGATTTGGATGTTTTGATTCTCGACTTGCCCCCCGGGACCGGAGATGTCCAGTTGACTGTTTGTCAAGAGGTAAATCTCAGTTTTGCCGTGGGTGTGACAACGCCGTCGAAATTGGCAATAGCTGATGCCCGTAAAGGCATCTCGATGTTCGATACAATGGGTATAGAAACGATAGCAATGGTAGAAAATATGGCTTACTTTGAATGCGAGGGTGGTGGCAAGCATTTTCCGTTTGGCAAAGGCTTTGCAGGAACAGGAAACACCATCAAAGAAAGCTTGGGAAATATCGCCCTTAAACCCGAGAACATATGCCAACTCCCAATTTCAGAGATTGCTACCATCGGCAACGATACAGGAATTCCGATCTGCCTTTCGCGTCCAGAAGAAGCAAAACTGGAACTAGAAGCGTTCGAAAAATTGGCTAAGATAGTTTCGAGAGAGTTGTTTCAGCTTCCTCATCGGACACCATCGTCCGAGGGGATGGTTGCTCTAGACGGCGAACACTTTGACTTGTCCACAATCAATCTATCAGAAGATAAGGGATCTATTGTAGTGCGATTCTTTTCTGAAAACGGGGCCATACAGAAACGGGTTCCGTCGCAAAATCTCCTTAGACTAGATCCTATGACAGGAGATGTAATAGATAAATCGTCATCTCCCGAGAAAACTGAAGCGAAGAATGATCAGGAAGGAGTGGTTGTATCTGTGCACAAAGCTTCGTCCAATGCGTGCGGTCATGCATCTGAGATATTGCCAGAGCGAATCCAAGAGAAAGGGCGAGTCGGCTTTGAGGTGACATGGAGCGATGGTTCGAGATTCATTTACAGGAGGAGCGTGATCGCAATTGCTGCAGGTGGGACATTCTTAGAAAATAAATTGTAATAGTGCCGTAGGAAAAAAAATTCGAGTATACGTGACAAGAGTCAATTTTATAAGAAAATAACTTGTTTTGCATCTTTATTTGTGACATGAGCATGGATTTCTGTGTTCGACAAGATTTAATATTGTTTCAGTTATACACTTGGTGTAAATGTTAAGTAAAGTACAGTCTACGAAGCAATAATATGTGACCAATATGCCATAGCTGCGACCCAACAGAGAGCTTCACATAGCAGAAGCTGTCGGGACAATTTTTTTCACACCGTAGCTTGCGGTGATTTCAAAGCATTTGGTTTCAAAATTGAATAGCGTGTGTGTGTGTGCGTGTGTGTGTGCGTGTGTATGTGAGTGTGAGTGTGCATATGTGTGTACATGAGTTTACATTCAGCGCGGGTGATGACGACATTGAGAGTTGCTGCAAAACGACAGGTGCGCATAATCTCCACATGTCACTAATAGTATAAACCAATGTTTGTCGAAGGTTCGGATGAGTTCGATGGCAGTGGTTGGGACGGATTGATTGACGAAAATTGGGCGTTCTCGTGGATGACACCAGCAGTAGCAGATCCTTGCCATGTTTGAATCCTGCTCGCTTGCTGCATTCTAGCTTGGCGTTCTGTTTGTCCACCAAAAAGATTTAAAGGCTCGTTCATTGCCGTGTGTCTCGGTATGGACAGATCTGATGCCTGACAGTCAGCAGTCGCATTGTTTTGCCCCAAGAATTGCGGTTGAGTTTCTTCGTAGTACGAAGAAGGAGTGCTATGATGAGTGCTGTGGTACCCTCTTGATGGATCATCGGATGGACGATATCCTCTCGATAGATCTTCGGGTGGACCCACGATTGCTCTATTCAAAGCATGGGGTCTTCCGTAGAACTGATTATCTAATCGTGACGATCCGACACCGCGTCGTTCATTGATTTCGTGGTATTGATCTTGCTGCTGGGTGGCCGCTTTATCGGCGGGTGTGTCAATCATGGTCAGCAATGCGGATGCCATCATCGAAAGTCCATCGTCATCCTCCCCCGGATGAAGTCGAGCCCTCGGAACAGCGCCGGTTGCATTGCCATGAACGTTGTCTCTGGGGTTTGGGTTACGGTTACCTCCGTATGACATGGCAGAAGCCATCGACGAGCTTCGAGGACGTCCGGCAATTCTCTTATCCAGCGCGCTGTGGACGCTGGCGCTTCTGCGCATTTCGTCTTCCTGCGTGGAGAGACTCGATGAACGGGTTCTTGTGTGATCAAAAGAGGAAGACCGATGACCTCTCCAAGTTGACGGTCCAGTATTCGATTCATAGCTATGATTGCCGGCACCATCGCTTTGCATGTTTCCTGTAGAGACTGAACCAGGTAGGTTGTATCCATTGCTCGGATTGCCGCTGGACTTTCGATTATTCCAAAGCGAACCTGAAGATATGTCAAGATTGTCATTGTTCGAGATAGAAGCTTCAAAAGAGGACGCGATTGATGTAGATGATGTAGACGAAGCGATAGTACCAGTACCGGGACTTGTAAAGTCCTTGCCCACAATCGACACTACATGTGCCGGGGTGTTTCCGTCTAGGGACAAAAACGTAACGGTACCATCCGCAACCACAAAGTGTCCTTGCTGCATAGATCCTGGAGGTAGGGCGGTGACGTAGTGCACTTTCGGCGCGCTGCGGTGATCCGGTTGCTGCCTGCTGTTCGCACCATTGTTTCGGCCGTCTTCGAACGTGTTTCGGTTGCGGCTGGCATTGAGAGGGTGGTGATATCGACACGTAGCTCCGTACTTACACCGACCGTTCTTGAGGAAGAATATACAGTTCGGCTCGTCTGGCCTCTGGGGTAGCATCTGGGCACCCGCGTCGCTTCCGTTTCGCCACATTTGTGATGAATTAGATCCCCCATCGTCCTTGCGCCCACCGCCCGGCACGCCAATAAGCACGCTATTGTTTCCGTTGATTGCAATTGAAGTTCCCTTGCCCGCTACCTCGGGTGGATGGTGGAATTTGCATGCCTGTCCAAACTTGCAAGTACCGTGTTTCATGTAGTACTGACACACAGGCTCATTGTACCGTATTGGAAACAGAGGCTCGGATGGATTGATTGGCGCCTTCATTCCTCCTCCACTTTGCACGTTTAGTGGATGGTTGTACTTGCAAGAGGCACCATACTTGCACCTTCCGGTTCGTAAGTAGTCTCGGCAATCTTCCTTGGCCTGCTCGTTTTTATTCGGGACAACCCTGCACCTGACATCACTTATTGAGGGCGACTGTGAGTATGGCGAAGGGACCGACATAATGTGCTGTATCGTGGTATGGTAGGAATTAAATCCTGGTAGGAATACAAGCAAAAATGCCTCAGTTCTTGCGGCTCCTGCTGATTTTCACAGCAGTACCGGTTATATCCGTTCGCCCTTTTTCTTCCAGTCTCTGTTGTTGGAGACTTAGTGCCAAGTATTCTTTGGTATTCAAACCTGCGTCTGTTCCTGATTCCTTCGTTTTGAGCAGTATTGTATCTTGTTGGAACGAGGGAGGAAATGATCGAAGAATCTCTCCAAATTCAATCGAAGAAATTCGCCTCTATACCGCGCAAAATCGCGAGCAAACCCCACTCAGGATGCCACGATCAAAAATTATCGCCGTGATAAAATCCGCGATGCTGTTGCGGTAGTAACTTCGATACCGATCGGCGAAGTTGATAGTTGAAGCTGACGGAGTTCAAATAGAATTGATCTCCAAGAAGTCCCTTGCTGCTTTTCCGCTCTGATGGACTTGCCACAATGATGCCGCAACGAACTAGTTTCATTTGGTTCTAGAAAGAATGTATCGTCATTTCTGTGAGTGACTTTGTAGCACTACCGTGTTGTTGGGAAGGATACCCGGGTACGGCAAAGTTGTACTCGTACCGAACTCTTCCTTACAAACACTACGGGACGATACGCTAAGAGCACTGGTACAAATACCCACTCTCCCGAAGAGCGAAGACAGATTGAAAACCTCCCTGGAAATTGCCGAATTTTTCGTCGTCATTTCTCGTTTCTTCTCCATCGTTCTCATGACGCGCGCGTTCATAAGCGTGCATTATACGTGTCTGATAAGTTCCGTGTCTTCCATCCGCAACACCACAGTAGAGCATATATTACGGGTAACAAGACGTTATTTTTTCATACCGGTCGGTTTGGGCATACATGAACATACCGGTACACGTCGAGAAAGAGCAAGCCAAAAAACTGTCTCTTGAAGTTGTGAGCTGTAGTATTCTTCTGTGGAGTTTCGATCAAGCTGCTTTTTCTTTTTTGACTGCAATCACGAGGACGTCGTACACTACGTAGAGCAGCGCAATGGCTTCCCATCAGGCTATTTGAGGCCACTCAACAGTGGGAACAAGTTGAGTTGTACCCGTACCGAAACGCGACGAGCACGAGGAGTAGAAGTTCAAAGTCTCCCAAAAAAATTCTACTGGTACGAGTACTTGATTTCGCGGCCGGGTGTTCAGGTCTACTCATACTCAGCAACTGCTCGACGTTTGCAGAGCTTCCTCGCTTTCCTTCTGTCTGTTATTGATCGTGGCGCATTTTCCACCTTGCACTCAAGACTGTGCCTGAAGCCACGATAAATAACAGACCGAAGGAAAGCGAGGAAGCATGTCTTCATTCTTTGGATAGCGAAGCGTCCTGGGCGCGACCTTGCTAGTAATTACGTAGTAAGTGAAACCTACTCGTAATACTGACAATAGTATTATTAGTTTTACTATTAGTAGTACTGGTGATACTGCTGGTTCTTGCATGGTGGTCGTCGTATGAACTATTATGATGTTTGTGCATAAAAATGTTCACAACAAGAACAAGAATCGTCTACAAAAATGTACTGCTAGTAGTATTTATTGTAACTGGTTGAAAATTAGTGAGTACTGCTCAATGTTGCATGAAGAGGTACAACCTGCACCATAAAAAATTTATATCTGGGTGTAATTTTGAAAGAACCAATTAAAGGAATAGTTATGTAATGATTCAAGCTCAACCCGCAACAATAGTGAGCAGGAAGAATGCTACTTTGCGGAATATTTAACAGTGAACTAGAGAATTCAGGCTTTACCTGTTCCATTTCTAAATCAAACTTCCTCCAAATCATTCCCAAGAAGACAATTACTGACAGCTCTGATTCTCGACAATTCGTCAGCATTAGTGCTTTTTCTCTCTTTCGTTTACCCTTGAAGAGTGTATAGCCGAAAGAATCAATAGTCCAGAGTTAAGAATAAGAATATCTTTCGTGGTTACTATGTCACGGCAAGCTAACTTGCAGGGTGCCCCGTTACGTAGTCCCATTCGGCACAGCTCTCGGACGAATGATTGTCCAGGTTAGTAGACAATCGGTATGTTCCGAGTGGTTTTCCAACCGATAAGAATTCCCTGGTGGAACACGAAACATATCTCCAGGACCTAAAAGGAAACGCTGGGCACTTTCGGCATCTAGCTCACCATCTGGTAAGTCCGGGTCTCCATAAGCAACTTCGAAGGCTTTGAGCTGACAACGTACGACCGTAAACGTTTGGGCACATGGCCCAACAGATTCTGAATCTTTTATGCCACCCGGTGGAAGCGTCAGGTTTCCCATAATATATCCTACATAGTCATCGCTGTCATCGTTTGGAATATTGAAGGCTTGGGCTGCTTTCCCTGTAACGTTGCCTTCCTCTTTCTTCCTTTTCTTGGAAATTGGAAGATCGCTTCCTTGCATGTTGGACGCATAGGCCACGACCTCTGAGAGTTATCACACCACCAAGCGAGAAATGCAAAAAGTAGATGAGAAACCAAAGTCAATTTAACATTGCGAGACCAGTCAGAAAAGATTTCAGCGACAATTTCTTACTTTGATCGGCAGTCTCGTCTGCAATATCGTCCCAGAGATATGCCTCCTCTCCGTCGTGATATTTGTATTTGCGTCGAAGTTTCTTGCTATTGAATTTTTCATCTGCGACACTACCCCGTGTGTCGGTAACATCATTCTTTTTTGAGCCTTTTCTAGAAACGTTACTAGTTTTTACCGGTTTTCGTTTCTTGTAAGGTGTAGGCAGCGCTTTCTTGATTCCAGTCACTACCGGCATATCCCCAAATGCTTTCCCGATGTAACCACGTTCGTTGTGGGCTCCATATTCCAGTTTTTCTCCTCTCCAAAATTGAAGCGGTTTCACCCTGGCACGCCTCGATCTTCTTGGTCCATTTTCGTCTGGCGATGCTTCTACTAAGGCCCCAATAGGTACCGACTCGTAGTCTCTATTTGCGATTGGGATACCCTTAGGAGAGAAGACAACACTTCGTTTCTTCTTCTTCTTGGGTCTTTTACTCTTTTCGGCCTTGGGGGTGGATTTGCTTTGTTCGTCAGGTTCTCCCTCGTCTTCGTCCTCGTCATCCTTCTCACTTTCAGATTCGAGATTATTTTCCCTCCTCTGTTTTCGTCTCTCTTCCTTAATTTTTTCCATTTCCTTTTTTGCGCGATCTTCCCTCACGGTCAACGGTGTTTCAGGATCATGTACCATGTTGAAGCCCGGCCCTTCGTGATCATCATCGTGATCATCATCGTGATAATCATCGTTATTAGAATCACTTTTTTCGCCACTATTCTCTACATGGTCGGTATCCAACCCACCAATAACATCATCCTTCCCGTCATTCGCTTCCAGCGCTTGCTCCTGATCTTCGTCTTCGTCATTTGAAAGATCGTTTGGTAAGGCTGGAGGACCTAAATCGTCTTCCACTTCATCTTCGTGAGGCGGAAAGTCGACCTCTGGACTCGCGAGTCCAAGCTTTTCGCCGTTCGCTTTTGCGGATTGGAGAGCAATGACATCGCTTTCTCCGGCTAAATCTGCCTCGTCGTGGTTGTCTTGAGTTAAGAAGGCATCGTCAGTATCACTTTCACCTTCAAGGTTTGTTTTGGTGCTCTCTTGTTTTCTCTCATCTTCCCTGCCAGGACTGAAAGGAGCCGTCGACACTCTGCTCAAATCCGAGGGGCTTGCAAAGCTTACTCCGCTGCCACTTTTTTTTCTTAGTCTTGTAGCGTATTTCTCGGCAGATTTTGAATCTTCTCCTTTCTCGCTACCATCTTCTGTTGCAGCTCCTGTCAACGACATGCGTACTCTCTGCTTTGGGGTCTTGACTGTCTTCTTTTTTGCTTCTTTCGTTTTGGACCGTTCCTTGTTCTCGATGGAAGACTCCTCTTGTTGCTCATTTTTCCTGGCGCTTTCTTTCGGAGAGTGGGCCGAATCAAACCATTCGTCGACATTGCTGTCGTCCGTGCGTTCAATGACGACGCCGGAGCGTCCCCCTTTCTTGCTGTTCTGGATTTTCCTGGTCTTGACCATTGTTAGGCCCAATCTTTCTTTTCCATTGCCGAGGGCTCGGGCTCCACTCTTTTCAACGGTCGGCTTGATGTTCCGCCCTATCTGATTCGTGTGCTCCCCAACAATTGGTCTTCGAGAGGTCTGATGCGATCGCGATCGGTCGTTCGGGTTTATCTGCTTTTAGACTCTGCTTGCTTGCAAGACGAAGATGCGTGCATTGAATAATAAGGTTAGTTCTAGCTATGGTAGGTGCTTGAGAACTGAGAATGTTGAGTGTCAACACAAGAGAGATGCAACTGAAGGCAATCTCAAAAAATTATCCCATGAGACTTCGTCCCTTCAAATTAGAATGCACATGGAGTTTTTTGTTTTTTGACCATGGTTTGTGTCGGTTTGTAACGTCGTTGCTTTCCGTTGACACGTTAAGGTTGCTGGTATGCAAAGTACCCATAATATCTACGTTAAATAGGTGGAATAGAAAAAACCTGATGACAGTCTCGAGAAATATTTTTTTCGCTCCTTTCGTTCCGACTGAGAATGACAGAATCGTTGTTGTGAACCGTAGTCGCAACGGCACCGTACGGTTGTCTTCAACATCACTCTTGCCATCGACAACCACAACATCAGCAACATCGCGTCACAGCATCACGGCATCCTGGTCCTAGTCCCTGGAACTTTCTCGTTTGACTTTTTTTGCAGTGCTGCAAACGCACAACCTGTCGTGGCGTGCAAATATTTCCAACCTTCGGCCAAAAAGTTCAGTACACCATGAAGCAACCTTTGCCTTTCATCAGCTCCGCACTACTTCTTTCCCTATTGAAATTATCAGGCTGTACCAGTGAGAGAGAGGAACAAATATCGGCAGTTGACAGCCATGTCGGAATGGAGTGTTTGGCGGAAAATACAGACTTGGATTCTTTTCGCTGCATAGCTTCGAAACAGTCATTGATCATCCCTTGTGTGGATGTGAATCCGAAGTGTGAATACTGGGCCAGCATGGGGGAATGCAACAAGAATCCGCAGTTCATGAAGATCGATTGCCGGAAGTCTTGCTTGTCTTGCATTTCGTTACACCCGGATGACGAGCCACAAGTGGCCTTCGACGATACTCGGGTCGAGGTTCTTTGGCACCTGTATAAATCGCAAGAATACCTTCACGCGAAAGCGACGTCAAACATAGCGAACCTAAAGAATTGTGGCAACAACTATGCGGAATGCACCCATTGGTGGGCGAAGGGGGAATGCGAAACAAATCCTCGATTCATGAAAACCGAATGCCGCCTGGCGTGTCGAACATGCTAAAATTCGGAATTTTGACAATGGATAAAGCATGCTTGTATCGATGATATGGTCGCAACGCAACGTGTGATTCTATTGAAACTCATTCCAAAAAAATTCTAAAAAGACTTAAATGCTACGTCGAACCAAATACCAATGCCGACTGCAGTGCTATCGATTCACCGCTAAGAAGTGACGTCGTATCTGGTGTTGGGAGAATTTGCTGTGCTTGTACAAGTAATTTCGCAGTCAGAAAATGCAAGCTGGAAAACGCTATCTTTTTGCACCTCTGTTTTTCCGCCGATGGCCGTATTTTCTTTGATTCTTCCCCCGCTGGCGGTGTGATTCGTCTTCAGATCGGCTTCCTTTCTTACCGCCACCGTTGCGGTATTTGAATTTTCCGGAGAGGAGAGTCTGCAGCATCATTTCCGAATCGTACACCTCGGATGGACTTCGGATTTCCGCCAGAAGAGGAAAATTGATTGTGAGACTGCTCTCGTTGCCCTTCGCTTTCTTTTCGGGAACACGGTACAAACCCAAATGACCCTCGAATTTCCCGACGTCCCCCCCTAGCTCCTCGAGAATCGCTCGTGCATCGTCCGAAGCCTTGTCCATGGTTATTCCACCAAGAGGAATGACCAGAGGTGTCGGGGACACATTCAACATAGGGAGGGTGTGTTTCCAAACCAATATGTCTCGTTGCATCTGTGGGGTGCTGCCTTTTCTGCTCGGCGGACTCGTGGCAGCAGCAGGCTGCGACGTCTTGTATTCTATCTTGGACACCAGCGAGAGTGGATACAGCGTGAAGGCCGTCTGAATCAGTATGCTCAGCCCCAGTCCGCCAAAGCCATAGATCGGGTTGGCGTGGAGTGCCTCGATCGGACTCGCATTTACCGCGGGAACGAAGTCAAAGACATACCACAGCCAGTACACGGAATTGGCAGACGATGCCAGAAACGACGCCCTGGGGAGCGCGTTTCGAGCCGTGTCTCGTCGGTAGAGCAGTACGACGCTGCCGTCGTCGTTGTCGTTCTGGTTACCACCGCTTGGACTTGGATTCGGGAGGGCCGACAGCTCTCTGGACGCAAAGGGAAGAACCGGTGTGGGGAATCTCCTTTTGCGAAGGACCGTTTGGAGTTTGTGGCGATGCCGAAGCCCGGGTCCACGAATCATGGCGCTGCTCTCCGTGCGTCCCCGGCCAGTTCACTCGTGGCGTCGAAACTCTAGCAATCTCTTGGCCTTCCGACGAATGCCGCTCCCATGGTGGATGCGGGGAAGGGTTGTGTTGTGTCGGGGTGGTCGGCACTACGAGTGCTCGTACTCGTACGTGCTAACTCCGAATGATTGTGGGGATTAGTCTGTGGACGGACTGACTCACTCGACTCGGGACTCCGGCTCTGTTTTTTCGTATCGGTACCGGTACGTAGATAAAAAACTACTGTACTACTAGTAACTTCGACTGCACTACGTGCTACGTAATCCCTCTACCTGTAGACTTCACTGTAAGGTACGTACCGGTACGAGTTAGCACGTTCGATAACCGACCTTGCCCGCTACTCCGATTGGTCTGCTTCGGTGGCAGTGGAAGTCGAAGGCACTGTAATAGGAACAATAACCTGACCCCTAATATATTATATACATATATTTTGTACTAATT